ATAGTATAGTGGAAGTCTATTTGGAGGGTTTATTCGCAAACGTTGGAAGATTCAAAGTTTTTTGATCGGAGATATCATCTGCTTTGCGAATTCCTCGAGCATTGAAATTTTCTTGTTTTGGTTCTGAACATTATGTGAGCAAATTCTGTATAAATATTCAGAAACCACCTCGTAGAGCTTGCTTTAGTTATAACGGTAAGAACTAAGTCTGGAGAAAAATTTGACGAGCTTGTGTCAGATTCTAAAAATTTTCTGCATTAGAATATGATACAAAATTCCACATTGGGAAAGTGCAGTCTGTGACATTCCGTATAACAGCGCCGTTCCAAGACATTTATAGTGCCTTATTGTGCACCGCGAGTGCTCGCGCGTTCCGCAAAAGAAAACATGGCTGGAGTCCAGACATGCATGACTAAGACGGCTGGTTGTCGCTGATGCGGCTTATGGTGTGTGAATGAACGCGGATCGTTCAAGAGGAGTACGCGATTAACACGAGCCTCCGCGCGTAAAGCGACAGATGGCGCGCGGCCACCCATTGCGCGTCCCTACCGCATTGGCGGATCACGCACGGCTATTGTTTTCCGCGGGTCCAGAACTGGATCTGCTAGCTCATCCCCTACTGCTTGCTCATTTTGCTCTCGAGCCGTAAGAGTCGTGGAAATCAAGTCGGCTATGGGGGAGACATGTGAGCCGTGGCTGGAACAGGACGATGAGCAATCTGCTCGAGACTTCCCTGCTCGCTACTCAATTCGAAGAAATGTCATTGTGTCACTGCCTCGTCGAAAGCATCTCACTCTCTTATCTCGCACTCATAGCCTATCGAGCACTTCCTCTCCAGTACATTTTCCCCTAACACAATACCGATTGCATTTTCTCAATCTCCACAATCGTTCAAGCATGCAGGGCTGTAACTCACCCCCATCGCTTAGTCAACATGCCTGAGAGAAGGTCAAGTTTTGTGTTGCCCCGTACCTTTTGAGAAAGATCTGCTTCGCGTTCTAAAACAGGTTTCGAAGCCGCTAATCTTCTTATCCGAAGGCAAAACCTTCAATGATGCCACCTTCACACTATTTGCACTACCGCTTTGTCCTCTATTTCTCGCCATGAACATTTTGTGTGTGAGAACGTTTCCGCCCCATATTTGCATTACTCTTCGAAATCTGGTTTTTGCAATTACGTTGTGGAAAATCGTGTCTGAATCGTGAGCGATGAATTTCAAAAGAATAAAGCGAAACTTATTCACTAGCAAACTCTACTTTATGTTGGTATGCTGGAAGCCTTTCAATCAAATATGTTTTTATGAAGCACTAGCTGTTCTCCAGAGGCCTAAAGTGGCAATAAATTTGATTGTATGTATGTCTCCTGTCAGGAACGTCTATCCTCACCAGCCTAGATTTTCCTTGAGATAGAAACTAAGATCCAGAAATGTGAACTACGCAGTAGCCATCCATGTCAGAACTTGTGAAATTGTGTTTTGGTGTTCGACGGTTATTTTCTCTTAGAAGCCTATAATCTATAATAAAAGCATCTGAAGAAGTACTTTTTTGCATGTTATTACGCAAAGTGAATCTGACAATTTTTCTAAGTAGCCGTTTTTGAGAAATATTTTTTGAGCACAAAACTTGCGCTGAAACAAAGCTCAAAACTTGCTAATTTCGCATGCCTGTTTCTGAGTCTGCGCTACTAGTAGGAATTCTGGAACGTGAAAGAATTCCACGAATGTTTTCGCTTGAATGCTGTGTTTGTGAATTTGTAGCAATTCACGACCGTGCAATCGTTGAATCCAGTTTCATGTAGAAACTGAGGTGGAAAACTCGAACACAGTCGTGATTTTCTTTCCCTACAGCTGCTGTGACCAGACTGCAGCTGCCTTGTATGACGTTTCTTGACTTCTTTTCTCATGTTTTGCGAATCGAAGTGGACTTTTGTGACAGTCGAGGCAGTTGCGATTTCCTCTTCTAGAAACCTTCCGTTTTCGGCAAGTTTTCCTTGAATTTCGTATTTCCAAGCAGTCCCCTGACAAGTTTTATTCACATTCCTTCTATCAGTGTAATATTACATTTGCTGACAGGGTCTTCACATGCTAATTATAAGTTGTCCCCATCAGCTTTTTTTTCGTTGTTATGCCTAAACCTGCCATGGTTGTCCTTGGGCAATACGTCAAGAACATTTCTGTTGACTGACAAACGAATTCAATTTCTGTAATACAAACGCCATTGCCGTAGTGCTGTTTGTAGAATTCCGTTCTACGAAAACAAGTTTTGACAAAGGTTGTATGCAATCACATAGTGTTTATGTATATATAGCAAAGATTCAGTGAGATTATGCATGCAAATACGTATTACATATATTCGAAAGTGAAAGTGGAAATGTGTGTATTTGCACAACAATCCGTTTACAGTGCGCTCAATTTCTTGCAGGTTTCTACAATAAGGCGGACACTTTTGACTCGCTCAGTGAATGAAGAAAGCCAAAAATATCGAAAATAGCAGACATAGAGTGCTTTTGATTTCTTAGGAGTAGTTGTGCATTTGCACATATTTCCATTCCACAAAGATATCATGAACCATTATTTGTACCATGTAGTGATGCAGTTCTTGTTTATCCGCAACTTTCGCAACGCATTTTCGTAAAACTAATGTCATTTTTCAAGGTTTTTTGGATCCGATGATCTTACTCTTCTATCCTTATTTTGTTTACTCCAGAGATTAAGGCAGTTGCTAAACTGCACCTTGAACCCATTCTAGGACTTTTAGTTGATAGTATGAAGGAATTTAAATGTTAAATTCTTTGAAAACTTATGCTAGTGACGCAGAGACGGACTTTCGCGAGGGAGTGCTCAAGTTCTGTGAATTTTTACTAGTTTCCAGTGCAATCGCAACTTAGAGGTTTTGTGAAGGTATTTGAGAAAAATTGTTATGTAATCCAAACATTGCTCGATGGTTTTTTTTTCACCTGGACGTGTGATTACAGTCGTGCTAACGAGCATATGGCATTGCTTGATTGTTTTTCGTTTGCTATAACCGGTTTGGTCTAACATGCGACATGTACGTCTTGTTACAAATCTTTACTTTCGATTCTTCTACTTGAAGATAGTAAATTTTTGTTTCAAGTAATGCAGCTAATCAGCAGTTATGCTAATGTCTGTTTATTGACTTGATATACTTTCACTCACAACCAAAGTGCAATTTCTGCAGCGCTCTAGAACTTATCTTGCAGTTTAATTGAATCATCGTATTAAGATTCCTTAACTCCGATTAACAGGATCTTGTACTATCATTTCCGTTCTTGCTGGTGGTTGCAGAAAATTCTTAGGAAACTTGAATCGTTCTTATCATACAGTAAGATGTTCTTTTGAGAACGAAATTAAGAAAAATGTTTGCACAGCCAATTTCGACTTTAGAGAAGTTCCCCTGAGCCAATAGAGAGTGATAACTCACTTGGGCCATCGGTGGCCCACAGTAATTTTCAAATAATCTCTTTCTAATCTTCATACTCTCTCTAGAGCTGTAGATGGGATGACTTTTTGATAAATATTCTTACGGGTTTCCTTCCTTGACAAAATTAGTGACAGTTACAAATAATTTCTGCGATGACGCGAATCATAAGAAATCTGACTATTAGGTTGGCTAATAAATAATTTCGGTTGCTTTTGCGGCTCCTACAAATGCTGCAGACAATTTTTTGTCCAGTATTCGGTATATCTGGAAAGAGCACTCAGTGAGGTTTGGAATGTAAAATCATTTGAGCAAAATGCAACCAATGCAAGAAATCCGCAAAGAAGTGAGAAACCCTAGTTTTCTCATTGTGTGCTAATATGCACAAATTTGAATTTTTTGGTCAAAGATAAAATGGCAGGTTGCAATTTTTTGTTGTTGTAAGCCAAGTAGGAAAAGTCCGTATCCAAATACTATATTGGTGTTCTCTGCGTCCATTACAGCAAGAAAACGAAGCCCTAGAAAGTGGAAGAATCGAGCTTTTCGTGTTTCAGTCGTATTGGAGCACACCGTTCCTTACTGATAATTGGTCTTGAATTGTGGATGTAAATAGAAGAAGCTTTTACATCCCCAAAAAATCGTAAATAAAGTTTTTAGAAGTTTTCATAAAGATCTTTATGCCAAGACGAAATTATTTTTTAGCCAACCTAAGATAAATCTGAGCAAATAGATGTAAGTTGGTGTGTTGAAAAATTGAATGCGAAAGGGGGGGGGGAGGACTTTGGTAGAGGTGCGGCCGCTTTTTTTCCGATTTTCTGCATGATGTGATGCAACAAAATTGTATTTCCTCCATAATTCTCATATAGAAGTCATTATGGCTTTCAAGGCGCATTATATCTGGCATTTTATTTTTCCGAAAGCTGTCAGAAAGCATTGCGTTAGCCCAGCATTGCGACTTCACGTCGTTTCATGAATCATTATTTGTTCTTGGCATATACTCTTAGGGAAACGTTGAGTCAAAAATAATCCTAATAATCTGCAAAAAAATCTTTTCGCCAAATATCTTGTTAGGTTTTTCTAATGAATTTGAAGTGAATTTGCTTTAGTCGGAAGCACCTGTTCTTAAATGAATTTTTTCTTTTTGCTCCTTTGATAAATGGTTTCAGCCTGTGCGATGCAACTCGTATTCGGAGGAATCTCTCTAGATGATCGATACAGCGCGTAGTAATTTGTAAGGAACGAGCCAATAAAAATGATTTGCACCATCTATGGAGACAGCGTCTTCAAACTACTTCGCATATGTTCGCTATTATTTATATTGCTACGCTCTGCCACACTAGGACATTTTCCATGCACATGCTTTTTGAGGCTGCTTTCACCTCACATCTATGGAAAGCATTATCCGAAAAAAGGATTTTTTTTCCTATTTGAAAGGTGGCATAGTCCCTTTATCCTTTCTTCGTTGTCCTTTACGTTCGAGTGCTCAAGTGGCCCATGCAAAATTCTCATCGAGCCTATGATTGATGCTGATAGCAATCTCCCAGCACAACGTTGTTGTTTCAGAGTGCAAAAACTTCGTGTACGGCGAGGCCATCGAACAACATCGTGGAGTGCGCGCCGACGAGCTCTCGTTCGACGTCGGCGACTTGGTGTTGGTGAGTCGACGCTTTTCAAAAGTTTCAAGAAGCAGGCATTTTGTTTTTGCTGGTGACATTTTGAATTTTTCTTTGCCGGATCTTTCACTGAAATCGGATATATGGCAGTGAACTAGCTGTTAGCAAGCATACTGTACTACTACGGTTGTTAAGATGTCGCCTATATATACTTGTATACATCCTGGACCATATGCTTGCTAGACTAGCAACAGTGATGATAACCAGTAAGGACCTACTGAGCTCTCAGCCTTTTTTTTTTCGAATTAGATGCCATCATAGCGCACTGATGCTTCGAGAATTATTTGATCTACGCAACGCGTGCTGCTGCCACAAGTTATCGTTCGTGTTGGCTGCCTCCCGCTGAAATCACATTCAAGCATTATCTCTTCTTATTATGTCGTTTTTTATATGATTATCCTCATCCTCTGCATTGGCTATAGCTTTCTTTTGCATGTATAGCACCATTGGTAGCTTGTTTACAGTGCGGCCATAAATAATTAATTTGCTCGGAGGGCGGGATCGGCGAAGGAAATGCGACCTGAGGGGGTCACTCGCGGCTTCTTTTCTCCTACCGCCCTTTTATGGTTTTGCGCCCAATTAGGTGCTGTCGCATAATTAATAATCTGTTTTCTTTTTCTTTTCCTTTTGAGGGACGGGAGAAAGAGTGAAGCGGAAAGGAAAGGAAACCTGTGGGAATCTAGCCAAAATACTGGTTTATATGAGGTTTTTTTCGCTGTTTTTTGCATGAGGGGCTTTTACCATAGGCAATATATAACGGAGCGACAGGAATATCTGTGAGTGACTTCTCTTTTGCTTAGCATATTCTGAACTACACCCGTTTGAAAGCCATCTTCGTGGAGTGGTTGTGCCAGAAATGGCAGACATCTATTTATGACCAAACAAAGTGGTTTCGTTTATATTCGTCTTGCTCCTACGAACAGCAGCAGCCAGCCAGCTAGAGATTACGACCACCATCTGCACAGTCAAAACGTAAACTGCCAATGATTGTTTGTTGTGTTCACAGAGGGAAAGAAGCCTGACTCATCTTCATGATTCTCCCGCCTGGCCTATTGCTTTCTGGTGCACTTCCATCCGTCTTATAGAAATGTGTGCGTGTGTGTGTCGATTTTGCCCTCACACATACTGGCATTGTCTTTCAAAAAAAGCGCATATATTTTCAAGTTCTTGTGCACAAAAATGTGCTAATATGGCTAGCTATCCCGATGAGTATTTTTCTTCTTCTTTTTCTTTTTACAATTCTACTTTCCTACCAAGCCCTACCGTTTTTTCTTTCTTTTTCACAGATTAAAGTGCTCTTCTCTTTTTCGGATGTACGTGCATGTATCCCGTTGCTTCCATACCGCGGCCACGAGCAATCTGAGCGCGTGCAGTGCATTATTCATTTGTCGCCGCGATCCATCCCCCTCTTATTTTGATTGACTTTTTGTTCAGAAAGTCCCGCCTTGCTTTTGGGCAGTAATATCTTGCGTTACCCACTCTCTTTGGTCCTTAAGATTCCAATGGTGCAAAGGTTTCATCAAAGAGAAGCCCTCTTCTTTGCAGCTCACCTTTTTTTGCTTACGTCGCTTCCGCTTCACGCCGAAGTGCAGGATATATCTAAAACTGATTTCACTCCTACACATCATAATGACCATGAAGAACTCCAGCACAATTAACACAACAGTCGTTAATCATGGAGTTAGCAGGACATTATCAGCTGACGCTGACGTCTGATTTATTCAATGTTCCTTGGATTACTAGATCAACAATCGCTCTCTCTCTTGCACTGTTCCCCATTTCCCTCTTTTTGCTTCATGCACAGCACTTATCATAATCAGCCATTGTTCGAATACACTCGTAAGCCAGGTGAGATTATAGGAAACGAAAGTACATCCTTTTTCTCTTCTGATGCAGCACCCGAAAATGGATGCGCTTTCAAATTGGCGGAAAAAAGCTACTACAATTTCATAGTTGTATCTACGCACTTTTGTGATATCACATTTCCGCACTAGTGCAATTAACAGATTTGTGCGACAAAACATTATTTTGTCCTATGGGTAGCGATAGCCCTATTTGTAGTGAGCTATGTACCAGAACGAAATGAAAGTGCGAAGCGAAGTCATTTTGATTTAGCAGAACACCACAAGGCTTTTAATATTTCATTATTATAGTGCCCTACAAACAACTGAACAACTCATGGAGTTAGTAGTGGCGACCTTCCGTGCCGTAAGCAGTTTGATGTTTTGGGAACGAGGCTAATATGACGTTTATGTGCAGCTTATATGCGATTTCGGGCTCGACTAATGGGCTGGCAAAGGATTACGCGTTTCATGATCGCCACTGCACTTCAAAATAGGATCCGTACGCATTTTACGTGCACCTAAACCCATCCACCAACATCCACTGCTTCAGACGTCGAAGTTCATGTCAGATGTTATGAGAGCGGGCGCATATCGTGGAGTAGTGCGATTGCACAAAATTGCTCGGTAGCAGCTGAGTCCAGTCGTCCATAAAGTATGGCATAGTAGCACATTAGCTTCCGGGGGCGCTCACCGCAGCGTTTGGGCTCAAAGTGTTCACACGAGCACCTCCTGAAGTAATCCTTATGAGAAACACACGTGGCCGCAGGATCGCTCACTGCGCTCAGAATTGTCAACATTTGGATCCAATCACTGTGTCTTGCATTGCAGCGGCTGTGGAGATGAGCTGCTGTTACGTAACGGAAGCTCCGGCTCTTGTATCCCCGAGAATCTGTTTATGCTCCATGTGATTTCTTGCTTAGTATCTGTAATGAAAGTGATAATCCGCGAGAGAGTTGGTAGATTGCAGGATCTCGCTGTTAGCTTCATTTTCTCTTGTACCTTCTTAATTTGAAGGCAGGGTACATAGGTGCTGCCATTCATGTTAGTCAAAATAATAATTGGTGTTCTTGTATTTTCCTATCATTAATACTAACTAAGTCTATCCATCTACAGTCTTCCACGAGAATTTTGAAAATGCGAAATCGCATTAATTTCTGGAAATGTTCGGATATTTTAGAAAAAAATAAGTATACCTTCTAGTGGTGCTCAAAGCAAAAACTTGTTGTCATAGCATAGCTATACAAGCTGATAAAGAAAAACACTTATCATGGTTTTTTTTTGAATTCGGTCTCCTATGTTAAAAGTCCTGTTAGTTTCGAATTCCACTCGGGTTTTACAATTAGCCTTTCCTATGTGACACGTATTCGTACTGATTGGGCTTCTCCTACTTGTAATATTTTTTTGTAATAATATACTTGTAATATTTTTTTCATGCTGAAAAATCCATTAAGATTTGTCTATTTTTGATCTTTTCTTTGATTTACTTTTTTTTATAAAACTATTTGCATATTGAATGTTTCTAAAAAGTCATGATTTTCGAGTTTTATGCTATAATCTATCCAATTTTCTTTTTAGTGAAATCTCATAAGAGTAGAATTATGAGCAGCGTGTATCATACAAGGAAACATTGATTTTGGATTGCTTCATTGATTATTGTTAAAACATTTCTCACAAAGTTTTTTTGCAAGACTTATAGATTAACCTTGTAGTACAGAGCCGTGCTTATAGCGTTTTTCTATGGAAGGTGTTGGTGCCAAAATGTTAGCTTTTTTGATAAAGAGGCCATTTATGTGTAATGAAGAAGCTTTGCCAAGCTTTATAAAGAATTGTTTAAGCTCAAATCCAACTGTATGCACCTATTCTTGAATTACGATGTCGGTAGCTTCTGTGACTTTTCATTGTTTTTATTTCTTCGAAGGTAGATGATATCTATCAACAAATGTGAGAAACAACCGTTGTCTCAGTCGGCTAGGTCTGAGCACCCCTCTTTTTCCCACAAGATATAAAATCCTTTCACATACTTAGGGCTTTTTCAAAGTGCTACCAAAGATTTTGACAAACACCTTTCTATTTTGTGTTTGTCGCCTTTGGTGTCAAAAAGCTTTCCCATCACCAGCCGAAACGGGAACATGGAGCCAACGGCTCGGATGAAATTGCACAGGGCGCATTGAAATAAGCCAACGCTTGCGCATACTAATTTCTGCTAATTGAAAATCGAAGTCATTCTTCTCCTTTCGAATGCGACATGAGCATAGCGTTTCCATATAACATCCGCGTCAGTCTACTCTATGTTTACGACTCGATTTTTTGGTAGAAGTTTTTTTTTGGGAAATTTCGTTAGTTATGCCTGCTTTTGCCAAAAATTTATTTCGGCTTCTGGATCAAAGCCAGCGCTATAGCTGCTAGAAAAGGAACATTCAAGGAAGAATTGATGGATGTTCGCTGCATGCCGAGTCTTTTCGGACCCATTAAGACGGGACTGAGAATGTTCTCGCTATCGTATTCCATAATGCGCATGTTGACAACTTTTCAATAAACTGCCTGCTTCTTGAAACCACGAGAGGATTCCTCGGCTCGCAGATACATTGGATTTTGAGAAATCTTCTCTCCAGTCATTTTATCTCTCTGTTTCATCTCCACCAAGTGATTGTTCATAATTTTGAAATTCAGCTAGTTTCACTGACTTTAATCTATAGTTGGGTGGCGTATCTTTCATGTTTCCTTTCAGTTCTTTGCGGATTATCTCATTTTTGACGTTTCGATCTCATTCAAGAGTAAAAAAATTACCTTATGGCCAAATACTGGCCCTCATCTAATCTATATCATTGTCTACTGTTGATCAAAACTCTTTGGCTATCTGCCTTTTCTTATTCTTTTATTGGTCTGGTCAAAGTCCTTTCTTTTGTAGTGATTTTATTGCTTTTTTCAAGTTTCGAATATGAATATTAGTTCTATATACACTCTTGCTCTACTTGTATAAATGCCCAAAACCTTAGCTCGTCGTCTGTTCTTCATCCCTCACATATCATCTTCGAACATTCCAAATTCACTTTTGATATGGTACTTTTTCTTCTATTTTTTCATAGATCTCCTTTGCTTAGAAAATTTGTAGTTATTTTCGTTCGTGCATCTTCCTCGAGCAAGCCAATCCATAAAATGTGGATCCTTCAGAGCAGCTCATGCTTAGAAAACTTCGGCGTAAGTTGCACGATCGGGAGGAGAGAGTTCGTCATCAGACGATATGTGAAGACAACTGCCATAATTCACAATGCGTTAGAGCTCCTTCGTTTACAACTGAAACTGTTAATCTTTTTACGACCACTGTATTCAGCTTATATAATTTAAACCTGTTTAGATAGTCGATCGAAGGCACTCACCTGAAGGCAAGTGGAAGGGCGTGGTTTTTGGGCAGAAAGGCAATTCGCGCAGTGGACATTTTCACTCATCGGCTGTGAAGATTATTGACAAACCAGAATCCGGTCAGTTATATGCTTGAGAATTTGAAACTAAGAAAGTTTGCCTCAACAAGTGGTCGTAGAAGTGATTGGAACCGGTCATCGTGTAGTTTCGGAAGTAAGATCAGCTGTTTTTTGAGAGACCCGGAACCCGGTATGAGGGTGGGCGTGGGCTCTTATGCACCGTTCGCGCGCGGTGCTCATTTCGCCGCGTGCGGCACAGCTTGAGAGTGGTCGAGTTGCATCACATGGCAAACAGGCAAAAATCATGACTTGAGGCGTGTAACTCACCTGTGCTAACACCTACAATTATGATGGACATGACTGATGTATAGATATGAAATAGCGCGTTTGTACGACAACTCGTCCATTGGGTTTCCACGCTTTCTCGGCCTTACATAAAATTTGGCCAATCGCAATTGACCTGCTGACCAATTAGAGGAGCGGCGCTATGGCAAGCGGTTAAAGGCCGTAATTTTAGGGAGGACAAAGCAAATTTCTTGGAAAACGAAGCTACGTTTGAAAAGTGCACCTTTTACTGACATGACTTTTATGACTGTGGAAAAAATTCCGACTTCACACCTTCGCATCTTAGGCCAGATCTAATATTTTGAATTCGGCTGAAAGAGTAATTGCGTTGGAGATAAGCCTACTGTGTACTAGTTCTTTGCTCGAAAACTTGATGTGTATCACACTAGATGTTTGTACAGGCTTATCTATGTGCAGCGCAGCACAACAACTGTCGAGAGGCAGAATGACTTTGGACTGTTTTGTGTGACAGTAATATTTTTAGTATACTTTGACATTGAAATTTATTTTTGACCAGCAATGGTGAGCGTTGTGAATGTTTGAATGAATAGTGCATGCATACTGGTGAAGTCTGAACATACCGTACGAATTTATTCTTCAAGAAATATGTGACTTTTGCTTTTGCATTTGAAGTTCTGAATCTATATTCCGTCCGCGCACTCCTTGGCATTTTGCCAGTTGTTCTCAAAACCATGCGCACCAAAAGTCTGTACTGCGCCATTTTACTGGGTTTTGAGCCGAAGCATGTGTTGCAAAAATATGGCCTAATTATTTTATATCCTAACATATGCACTGCAGGTACTGCACATACTGCGCGTCTCAAAATAGTTTACCACTTTGCATATATGATGACTGAGTAGTTGTTTTTCCTAATGCTTGTAAAGAACAAAGGTAAGGAAGAGACGTTAAAAAAGCACTCATCCATAATCCATAGGTGCGTCGTCCTGGACCAAACTAGTCCAGGATGAAATGCGCAATGCGTGCAGTGCATGCAGTCGCACATATAATTCCGTTGAGTATGAACTCTGGCAGTTTGCCAAATCGCGCGCCGGCAAGGAGTGCATTGGATATGCCAAAAGAGAAGGATTTTTACGGAAGAAAAGACCCTGTCTGATTTCTTAGCACATACTTCGTCGTTGTGCTAGCTGTTACAGCGCTAGACGATTAACCATGCCAGCCTGTTGAACGTCTGCCGGCAGATTGCGCATTACTGATGCGACAATGCCAAGTAATATATCACAGACGCGCTTCGTGTGACAGTCAGCAGTCGTCGGTAGGACCAGCTCGACCCCCCTCGCCCCCCCCCCCCCCGTATACCTTGGCGCCCGCCTTTGTGCCTCCATCGTTTTGCGCGCGCATTCTAACCCCTCCCCTACAAACCATACTGTACGCACCAACAACCTTGATCGCGGCCATCCATCGTATGCCTCATCTGCGCCACACCAGCATTCCTTGCTTTTTGCCAAACCACAATTTCACATTTCACTATTCGTTCGATCAGCCTCTGTTTTGTCTTATCACCTCTTTGTCTACAGTCAAAGCGCACTACCCGTCTCTGAGCATTCGCCCTCCCCCAATCAATTTTTTTCAGCAACAGCGTGCAAGACTTCTCAAGACTGGCTGTAAACGCGACGCCTAGTCTTGAGATAATCTTCGATAAGCTGCTTAAGAGTTCAGCGCAAGAATTTTTTTCTGCTCGATAAGCAGCATTTTCACACCTTGACGCTGTAGCCCTCTCAAAGGGGTACATGTTTCTCTTGAATTTCTAGCCATTAGGGAGTTTGAATTTTCTTACATATAGTTTCCTTACCGACCCACGTTTCCTCGTTTTTAGAACTGTCGAAAACGGAAGAATTGCGGTCATAGGGTCACGTCACACCATTTACTTTACTTATGATGCGCACGCGCTGAACCCGGGTTTTCTTCCATTCTGGAACAAAGAGGCCGTAAATGGTGTTTCTTATTCTTCCTTGATGTGATTTAGAGCTGAAAGACTGTCATTCACAACCCCTTTTTTTATCTCGCTCATTGTCAGTATAGCTTATATTTTCTCGTTTAATCGGCTAAGTAGTAGTGCTGAGATCTATTAGTGGACTTTATCCCTTTGGCATAAGAATTAATTATTGCGAAAATCTCGTGGAGCATATTAGCGTGTTTCGGCTGAAGCTGCTATGCATTCATGAGCAATCACGGCAGTTATGCCGATACGCGGCTTGCCTCCAACTTTCACGATTACCTTTCGTGAGTCTTTGGTTTTTGAGCTTTGGGGGTCTCTCCTTAACCTCTGGGTAAGTCGTGGCGGTACCCGGTGGTAGAGTTTTGTCTTGCGAATTTTCTGCCATTCAGCTACTGTGATACTACCCCTTTTGAACTTTTTTTTCTGATGGTAACCCTGCTAATCCAACTTTATACAAAACACCATCTCCTTGTCCACAAACAACTGTAAATCCATGCGAATACCGAATCTTATCGATGGTGAATATGACCACGAAGAGCGACTGCACATTTGCATACCGGACAGTGAGATATGTCCTCTCAGCGGGAATGATGATTTGCGACGAGCCCATCCCGCATAAGGCGGCGTACATTGTATGAGACTTTGTTCGGCTCCTTTTGGCAAAGCCATCGAATTTATATTCAGTGTCTTGGCTCATGTGATCACGATGACAGGCAATAGATCTGTTTCACGGCTTGCAACATCTGCTTGCGCATTCTTTTGAGGATTTTCGTAGCCATTCAAAATTCCGCACTTCTGTGGACTAACCCACATGCTACCCTTACCCTTCTTCACTTGTGGTCCAAGCACACAAGTGCCTCTTGCATAGCATTTGTTTATTTGTTGTGTGGCCGAGTAAGGTTTGCGATAGTGATCATGCTATTCAAGTCTGCAGCATCGTTCTGTGTCCCAACAACAATTTGGATTATATGTGAATTCTTCTGTCATTTTCTGTTCTCTATTCGTTCAAACTAGAAAGAGAATCTGTTTGCCTCATATGCTCAAAATCGCCGTTTCACGCTTCGTTGGCAGTTTGCCATCAACGTAGCTTACCCGACAATGTGTACGATAGGTACCACTGGCAAAGTTTTATGGTAGAAAGTGGATTTCGTCTTTTGAGTGAGAGTATCTGAAACAGGTAGTCGAGGCTGCTTTAGTATCGTAGATTTGAAAATCTCATTGTCTGGAAAAAGGGACAGCAAACTTTACATCAAATTTATTGAGAAAGGCTAGGCCTTCCATCATACTTGAACAGCAATACATTTTAGTCTTTTTCTCATCTTGTTTGTTAATAATGATTGGAGAAAGCTGCTAGTTCTAGTCACTCGGAAGATATGTTTTCCCTTCATATAATTCTTCCAAAAATCAAAATTTAACCTATGCACTAAGTGGTATCTTAAGTATGCCATATTATAGTGCTTACTTACATCTAGAAATAGAAAAACTGTGAACTACAAAATTATAAACTTGAAGTAAGCTCTACAGGTGTGCGAAAACCCAGAGATAACTGTGTTATTTTCAAATTGTAATGCAGAGGATATTATATCTACAGTAGTTTGGAGTCCAATCGTTCTGTACAGTTGTCCCTTTTGCTTCCATAAGACAACTTTTCCATGCCTCGTTGATATCACAAAACTCGCGTATGGTCCTTTATACCGATAATTTCATAGAAGGTTTTTGAATTATAGAAAGACCACCTCTCCTTCGAGCGGTGTTAATAGAGTTCCTCCTTTTTTTTCTGAATCAATCTGGGACATGACTCAATGGTGGAGGAAGTTTCCATCGAGCTTAGGAGGTTCTCCGGTCCTCATTGCAAGGTGCATACGACGCGCGTCAAGGCCACAATTTCGCATGGATTCCCCATTCGTTCAGTGCAGCTCAGCTAACTGCTTCATATCTCATTCACCGACCCAGCTGCTCGTACCGCACAGGCATGCATGTCCTTTGTGTTGATTCAGCAGTATATATGCAGTTTTATTTGAGTACATTTGCTGGTCTGCTGTTTTTTTTTTCGTTCGTAGTGGTGGAACGCGCATTTGTGTGCTAGTTTGGAGTCACTAGGTTTAGGTGTCCGTACATTCTTTCCCGTTGAGTCGTAATCTCCGGATATAATCTTCAGCGTGTTTCCACCTTTATTCATTTCTTAGTCGCATTAGATTGAGCACATGTGGATCATGGTTGCATAACCTTGAAAAAAGCAAAAGGTGGTACGTATTTCTTCTTCTTGCTTGAGATCATTTGTGAGGGTTGGAAGCTGTACTTCGAAAATTTTGCGATGTGTACAATTTTGAAGAATTACGCATAGAAGCTCTTTTAATTGGATTTAATTAACAAACGTATCAACTAGTCTTTCACATAAGTACACTATGCAATTTTTTGATTTTTGGCTTTTTTCTATTTTTAGAAGCATATAATGTCTAGAAGTTCGGAATGATACATGTCGCTTGAGCGTGAAATGAGTTGTTTACTTGTCATAACATAGATATCAATACTTTTAAGTTTGTACAAAAACATATTGAAATCAATTTTAACCCATTGATGACCGTATGAGCCGACGGTGGACCGCGACCCTTTCTCAAACACTTGTCAATATTCATATTTATTTTCCCAGAGTTTTGCGATTGAACTGGTATTTGAAAAATCAACTTTTATAATCTTGATTTTTTTTGCCAATATCAAAAGCATTCAAAAAAGCAAACGCATGAGGTGACGCAGATCTCATCAAAAATACATACTAAAATGAAATTCTAGTAATCCATTCGTCGTCACCAATTTGAGATTTTTGTAATTTTTTGTGGCTGTGATTTCTTATAGTTTTCTGAGCAGTAAGCACTTCATATAAGCGGACTTGCATTATGAGAAAAAATCAGCTTACACGATGTGATAGAGTAAAAGCCTTCCATTGAACTTCTGCGAAAAATCGGCTTTTTTGCTGTTCGCGCACAGTCAAGCCGCTTAGCCGCCAGTGAGTGGATGTTGTTTGAAAGGCCAAATTTCGGGCAGGCAGCTGATAGGAGGCTAATCCGCGGCCTTGGTGCGGTTGGATTTCCGTGGCGGGCGGCCGACACCCGGCATCCCAGCAAGTAGTTCTTTGTATATGATCGGCGGCAGATGCTCGCCTTTAGCGAATGTGGTCGAGAGAATGGGTACAGCTGATTCTTTGAATGTCTTCTCATTGAGTGTGAGAGGGCCTTGCAGCACAATGCTTTCTCGCTTTCTGCGCCTTCTTCCAGCACTGCTCATTTGCTTTTGGTGGTCTTTCACAACAAGGAAAAACTTATTTCTTTATCTAGATCAGTGCTAGTTTTCTGTTCCATAGCTTGCCTACTTCACCTTTGCTCAAATCAACAACTAATATTCTTTAACTGAGAGATGAATAACAGGTTGTTATTGGACGTCCATGTGTCCTTGGATGACCGGCGTCCCAGCGCATATTAATGACAACCATGCGCCGAAAATATGTATGTGTGAGTATACATCGCGTAGTCATCTGCCAGCCACAAACGCCGTACTTGCATTTGATTGGAATGGGTATGGGTCCTGGAATTTCGTAGGTGAGAGTGAGACAAATTTTCTTTAGAAATCAGTAAGAGTGATTTCGGCAGTAAGTTTTATTCAGAAGTAAAACCCTATCCCATTTTGTCCAATGCCAGCCAGCTCTTAGCATTTGCCTCGCTTGCGAAGGCCTCAGCGACCTTCGCTTTTTGTGGAGCCATCATTTTCCACCTATACCAGTGGTTCGATTCGTAGTTGAATCGCGAAACGTAGCGCATGAAAAATTGCTGAATTCTATGCCCTTGCTGCAGTACTTTTTTAGTGGTATGGATTTTTCATCAATACTAACAATCAAAGTATACTGGTTTTCAATAATCAAGCGCTATCCTCAGGGCTCGGCACGAGCTGGCACCAGGGAAATTTCAAAACGAAGTCCCGTTTGATATTGAAAATTTCGTACGAAGTCCCTTTTGACCTGTTTTGAAAACCCGTCATCATTTTTATATTATGTCAAAAAATGTAGTAGTGTTTTCATGCATTTCTGATTTCATGAAAGAACTTTTCACAGCTTTCTGAGCTTTTTAAGTGGTCGAATCACATCTTGAGAAGCAGAAAAAGCCAATTTTTCGAGCGGAGCGTACCGAGTGGTTTTCAAATTGCTATAAAACGCTGAAAAGAGAACATTATGAAACTGTTTCTTCTCCGTATGTAATCTTTTACAGTGTAGATACATTTTATGTAAAAAAGTATGAAAACTTATGTGAGCAAAGTGTCGGTGCCAGCTCAGCTGGCACCCAGCTGGCACGGTGCCAGCTAATTCAGAAAAAAGTTAGGCACAGCTTTCATTCACATAAGTTTTCACAAATTTTTTGGCCCGTAGTTCCGGTCCGCCTACGCGCATGCACACACCAAATTTGGTGTCATACTATTGCGTTTTGGCTGAAAACAACGCCTTTGTTTGTTGATGGACAGCTTGCCAATGGCATGCCGGTGGCATGCCGGCGGCATTTTTGCGGTAGTTCTCCGCCTCGGCCCCTGTAGAAACGATATCCCCTTTGCTTTCCGCCCTAAAAACGATATCCAGCTTGACCCGGTGCTAGCTGTGCTGAGCCCTGGGCTATCCTCTCTTACCATTGCAAACGCCGCATCTCTAGTGTTTTTTCCTGCAATTGCATTTACTAGAAAAAACTTCCAATTAGTGTTCAGCAACGAACATTTTTAGGCTGCTGGGAAATCTCTTTGTTTTGTCTTTCCGCAGGTCATGAGATGAAACACATGGGATCATTATTGTCGTGACGGAATTTGTTAGTTTTGGTAGCCGTGAGCAGTGCTCAGAAAATGATGATCTTTTATCGATAGTTAAAGGAAAGCAAACATCACATTCAAAAGCAAATGTTATAAGAACTATAGCTTGCGCATTGAGAAATCATGAGCTGAAGAGTTTTGTATACTGCCGAATTTTGAGAGCTATGACTGTATCCTAAGATCTTGTCATAATTCCCAGGGTAAATCAAACTCAGGCTATTCAACTTTTGACAGAGCTGTGAAAATAGTGGTTTTGAAGGCCATATGAAAGCTATAGAAAATGCTCTTTCCATGGGTATAGAAATGCTGGCCAAACTCAATTTTCAATGGTTTTTTGTGGTTTTGATCTTTGCCTTAGCATTTCGCAGCAGTGTTGACGGGGCATTCTATTCCAACTTTTTCTCATGCGTTCGTGTTGTGCATCGTTGACCTTTATAAATATTTGAAGAAGCTTATGAAAGCTTTCGCTATTTCGTAGCAAGCTCTGTATTCCTGTAGATTTGTAGAGGCCAAAGATTTTGTGAGTTGAACCCAACTTTTAGCGAACTTTTCTGTAGACGAACTTATCTCACCTAGAATTTCAGGTACTTGATTGCTCTTACTTAGTGCATACATGACAAGGCCGATTTTTCGAATACTGACGTTTCGAACCAGAGCCTTTCCCACGTTGTCAAACTTACGACTCACCGGCGGGTCGTATTGCCCGAAATGGCAACACGATACGACCCACAGATGGGTCGTATCGTCGTGAATGTATTGAAGACTTGCATTTTGCCCTCGAAATTTACAAAGTGTAGTAGCTTACTCTCTCAACCGTACACACTCTTCCTGGATTCGTATCGCGCCTACAAATTGTTTGTGTCTTCAAGGTTGTGCGAGTTACCGAACCGTTCGTCTGAACAATTAGTTCCCTCGTTCGCCTTTGTCGTTCCCACGTGAATACTGTGCGAGTCCCGATTATTCTTAGGTTTCTCACAATTAATGCGTGGACGTGCGACTAAACCCATGTCAGAATTCTCATTAGCCCTACCATCCACCTAACACATAGCGCAGTATTGTCACTTTTTTCATTCCATTTTGAATTCATTTACGTTCTATTAAACCAGGGAACAATGTGTTGTCGTGCCAGTTGACCTTTATCGGGTGTGGTATGTATGTGTTCGTACGACCGCAACCTTATGTTCACAGTTCTTTCGTCTTCCGTAGCATATGCGGTATAGTGTTGCTTACGACTGGGAACCTTGTACTCTTTACGACGAACTACTCTTGCCCTCCAATGCTTTGCGTTTATTACTCTCTCAAAGCAGTGCTCGATGCTTTCTACACGGGCTCGTTGAGGCTGATAAGAACGGTGCAACATTGTACGTTCGTCGTTTATTGCATGTCCTTCTAAAGAGTCAGAGCCAAGTCATTTCTTGCTATATACTTTCTTCCCTCTTTATTCTCCACTTTTTTCTGTCGCAGGGCTCGCTTAAGTTTCCGTATTTCCGCGAAAAATGAAATTTATTTGTGGATTTGAAGATAGGCTGTAATGTCGCTTCCACGTCCGAAAAAGCCGAAAGAGGTGGATGTAGACTGGACCAGGTCCGCCACTCTACGTCCAAATCGCAGAACTACTGCGACAGTCCGAAGACTAAGCGGTAAGAACCAGTAACGCTTGAGACCACTTCTTGAGACAAACTTGAAACATTCTGTTAAAAAATGGCAGCTCTTATAGTGAAAAAATTGGATTGATTGCAGTGATTTCCATGTCGTCTCGAGTCGCTGTCGCACCGTTTCAAAGTTCGGCGCCTCTTACAGGACGGCAAGCCAAAAAAGTGAATGTCCCTGTGGTGCCAGATATGAGTATGGTTGATAGGAAGTGTAGGTTTCAAACACCTCTGGCAATATTCATGCATCTAAAAATCATATCATATTATTTATATTGTAGACGAGGATGTAAATCGAAATGTCAGAAGCAATCTGAGCTGTCGTTCAATGGCCTCACCCTCCCAACTAAGCGATGATCGATGTAGCAGCGATTCTGCGAACTGCAACAGGTGAATTCAAGGTTTCTTGAAATTTGTTGAAATTTGAAGTTTCAAACGCTGATTCGCTTTGTTTGGAATCGTAATGGAGGCAGCGCGCGGCGTAAGAACGTTGTTGTTTTACAAACTGCACCCGTTATCTCAGCCCGTTCCTTTTGTGTTGTGGTAACATTGACCGCTACTGATTCATCGGGCAAGGAGAATGTTGCTTCTCGGGGGAGGTGAAATGGTGAAAGTTACATTTGGCAATAGTTTCTTGGTTGCTTTCAAAAATGGCCGTAGATTTTGATTTCATACTAGCTGGATGAAATTTGCTCAAAATTTGCATAAGTACGTAATTTTGATTATCGGCTATATCCTATCTATATCTACAGCAGAGGCTTTATCCATTTCTGTTGACCATTTACCCAACATAGTATTTTTGATTGGTATCTTTTATAATTCAAAGGTTTGATTTGTGTGCAATTGCGTGCCTTTAGCGCTCAAAGTTTGGCGGTTTAATAATTATTTTTCGCAGGGGATCCGCGACACGCCCCTCAAAAAAATTTTTTAGGGTGGTTTCTTAGATTGCTTGCAGGTTCATGGCCTTGGGGCAGCTACATTCCTGAAAAATTACCAAACAAAGTAACCTAATTTTCTGTTCAAAAAAAAACTCAAGAACTATCCAAAGTATTAGCAACTGGAAACTTGGCACAACTTTATAATCCATACGTGCTACTTTCGAAAATAATTTCCGGTTTTCTTTTCTCGCTGAGATGCTGCTGAATTCAAAAAGAACTCTACCTCATATGTACCTAATTTGGGATTCCTCCCCCCCCCCCTTCTTTGGATGCAACATGTGCAAATGCACACATCACCACTCAACTGTGAGGTCTTTTTCATTTCATTTATAGCATCTTCTAATGAAAAAAGTCGAAATTGCTTGAAACGAGGCATATTTTTGCCTAATGTTGAATCGGTGTTGGCTTTTGTCATGACGAGTCAGCGTCACTTTTACTTGCGAAGGAATGCGATTTTGCGTAACACAGCTCAATGTTTGTGACAGTCAACCTTGAAGAATGTCGGAAGTCTATATGAATTAATGTTATGAAGGAGGATGAGAGAATAGCGTTAATATTTCCCATTTCGTCTTTTGTCTCGCTTCCATGCGTACCGGCACTGATTGTTGCATGAGGCAATTATTTTTGATATTTTTTTTCTGTAAATATTGAATCAGGTGCATCAAGTGATGTATTAAAGTTTGACTTACTAAGTGTAAGCCGGAAGAACATATTTCATAGGCATCATGACGTCCGTGCTTTTTGATTGATTGCGTGAAATTAGATTAGGGTGACAATAAATTACTTCTAATATAGTCTTCGTAATCATTTTACACAAAGCGATAAACTCTTGAACTCTTTTAACTTCCGTCGTATGCATACTAAGATAAACTTCCCTATTTTGGTTTCCCCTTAAAGACATGTTTTTTATATAACAGCATGTGTCCAAAGATATGACGTTTTTGAAAAGTTTAATTTTTTCCTTTGTCAGAAGAGGCCACATCTTCACGAAATAATTGCTTAGTAATAAGTTGTGACTGATTGGTCCACATAATTGAGAATCCTTTTTCTTAGATTGGACCCACTAATTGATTCTGCTTTGCTGTGGAAAAAACAGTTGTTTGTAACTCGCAGGAAAATGTAGGAAGATAAAAACTAGCCCCTAGCTATAAAAGACAAGCAGCTCTCAGTTCATCGAAAATCAAGGTGCTCAGACGGTTATGATCCTGCATTGCTGTTGATTTCTTGACTCGAAAAAATTAGTTTTGAATTTGGCATTCCTTACGAAATGCTAAATGGAGTTTGGCCTACGAATTAGACTACTGCTTTGCTTGCGACAAATTCATCAAACTTTCTGTTGACTCAAGCGTAGTTTTTATAAGTCTTAGTAGATGAGGGCGGTAAGAATAATCCGTTTAGCTTCCGCTTACGTGCGAGATTTATGGTTCCGAAAACTAGAGAGAGCGCATCTGTGTACCTAACGAATTCAAATCCCACAGAAATTTTGCTTAGAGTTCCTAAATTTTAGTATTTATTGAGCTTATTTGTATTTTTGTGTTTTAGGACTTCTCGGCCACCTATCGTCGGCACAAACTCATCGTCTTCATTCGCCAGCTACGGCACTGAAGTCGGCCATCTTCTCGGCACAAAAAACGGCGGTGAGTTGCATGCGAAACGGATTAAGCAGCAAAACTGCAAATTGAGGTTGCCGTTTTTGCTTCTCACCTTGTCAAGCAGCAAATCGTCTTGCCTCTGACATATTCAAGTGCGGTACTCTCATCTGCTCTCATTTCCCTGTATGTCCTTGCAGAGGAGGTCTTCTACATGCGCGTTCCGCTCAGCGCACTAGCAGTATGAGCCGACAAAGCAGTAGCCATGAATAAATTAGTGTCGGAACCCTTGAACGACCGCCAACTCAATAAACTCAGATCGGGATAATCGTCGTCAAGCCGGCGTCCTTTGCCGCGTCGCGCACTGCCCGCATTGTTTGTGGAGATGTCGCGAACAGCGCCAAATCGCATGCGATCCTCGCGCACTCGTTTACGCGCGAAATCCGCAAACACCGCTGCGGACCGGCAGGAACAACGACGATTGTTGTTGAGCTGCTTGGCAGCTCGACTGCGTCTCGTCGGTCACTCAGGCAGCGCGTACGCTAATGTGTTCGAATTTGGTTATCGCCTTTTCCGCTCGCTTCGTTACGCGAATATCAAGTTTGGCGACTCATGCCTCTGTGGATTTTTGAGTGTTCGAGCAGGTCGCGACTCCTCCCTCTTATCTGCAGAGAGATAGGTTCTGCTCATCTGCTCAACCCTTTACTGCGAAACTCTGGGATGTTTTCGTTTATAACTTGTTTTCTGAAAAGTTTATTGCTTACTGGATCATTTTTAATCTCATAATACGGACACATGTTCAAACAGACCTTTCTTGCAGTCCTCGCGGCACCATCTGTGCTGCAATGAATTTTGTCTTTCATGTTCACTTTACAAATTGCAGAAATGTACACTAGTCCTAATTTCAACTGTCGTCATGTGCAATTGCACTACCCTATGAACTCGTTGTATTGCAGATTCAAAAAATATGGAATCTTTTTTCAATCTGCGCAGTCTTTTCTCGCTGTTTTTTTTTTCATGTTTTTATACTGTTTCTTCGAATCATGGTAGTGACTTTACCGTTTTCGTCCTCCTTTATTGCAAGGAAGTTGTGCAAGTGGTGCAGTTACACAAAGCGAGAGATGGTCTTGATTTCTATAATTCACCAGAATCTTTGCACTTCTTAGTTATAAAAATGATTCTGGTTGCAGGGGACTGCGTAGGTACTTGTTCTAATCGCTGACATCTTTCCTTTCCGTTCCCGGAAGTGTTATGTGACAGCAAACGCATATTTATATCCTCATGTGCGCCCAGAGAGATTGCCAAGCAATAGGATAGAAACTCAAGAAGAAGTGTGTACCTGATGGAGCAAGTACAGAAATCTTAGATTTCTGTTTTCCATACTGAGTTGTTTTCCTCAGACTCTTGTTATTCCTCAAACTCTTTCTCATCTGGTTGTCATCCTAGATTCAAAGCAATAACCGCTCACAGAGGTAGCTGATCAGTTTGTTGTTAGATCTGGGAACAATAAACGCCGATTTGTGATTCTGAGGGCAGAATGGACGCCGCTTTACGACTCGAATTGTAGAATGTCATGTGGAATAAACGAGCGGCAATGCGTCTCGATCGCAGCGATAGCCAGATGTAGGAGCCACATAATGCGAATAACCTCAGTCATCTCGTTGTCATCGTGTCGACGTTAGTAGCCAAACACCAAGCGACATCCAGCAGCACTCATGAATAAGCCTCAATAGAAAACCGATTTGGTTTCGGCCTCCTTGACGATCACCACGTCACCGTATTCAACTTCTTGCAGGCTTCTCTTGTTTTGCGCTGCACACTTAACTTCTACGGCAAAAAAATCGCGGAAGAAAAGCTTAATGCTTTTGAAGCGTACGATTAATGGAATGTGGTAGTGCGGTAGAGCTTTGCTTGATGTTGTCTAACATTGAACTTCATCTTGTGAATTTTCTTCATTCTTATTAGTGGTCAGCCTTTTTTGAAAGTGTCATTTGCATTCTATTCCACTCAGCATTTGCCGCATCTGGTTTTTATTGCATTTTCTTAAACTAATCGGACTGGATAACAAAACTCAGCTTTTTCCCTAAGTATAAGGAACTTATTGGATTGAATTAAGGAACTTTTTGTAAGGAACGCCATAGAGCGTATGAATAAATAAATAAATAAATAAATAAATAAATAAATTATTTTAACTATACAAGCGAGATTACACGCGCATCAATCTGTGGCGTTGATTCTTTACTTCATTGACTGCTCGGTAACAAGGGTTTTGCTACCATAGCTTCCGTTAAAATTCTTGATCTCTTTGTGAGACAGTAAACTTGCGTTCAGTCCATTTTAAACAACCAAAAAATCGACTTGAAGTCTGAAAGCGAATTTATAATGCTGTTCTTGCTTTTCCGTACTTTTTCTGCCAATTCGAAGTGCTCATTGAAATGTGGAGATAGCTCTCAACGAGCAACGGGTAGCGTTGGTGTTCTCGTTTCATTTCCCGTGCAGCTCCGATTACGCAGCCACCCAGGTATAGAACCGGCAACAAGCGGCGCTGAAGCTATATAACGCATACATCCCATCCCTCGATCCGTTTAACATTCACTCGATTTACGCTTATGTGATATATACTAAGCTCTACTAGATGGGATTAGTGCGTGTTTGTAGTAGAAAATTTGCTGGTGCGCTTCCCAGGAAATGTTTCCAAGAAGAATCGTGGCAAGAACCCTCGCGTCTATGTGGTCGTCAAGGTTCTCGGTACTGGAAATTATGGGCGATGTACATTTTTTTCATGTAGTACGAATACCGATTCTTTATCATCACCTTGCAATCTTACTTTTGAACAGGCTCAAGATTGTAACTCTTCAAAGCTTCGCAGTATTCTTTTGAAAATGATTGCGCTTGAACGAAATTGGTTGTGGTAACTGTTATGGTATATCCTCTTAGCTAAGTAAGATAGCTAGTCATGATCTTCTTAGTATGTTCAAATGTATATTGTACGAATGTCGTATTCCACGCAATTTTCTTACATATGAATTTGACACCTATGGAGGCCAACTTTCCCTCTTGTTATCTAATTCACTGTGGGTTCTGAGGTAATAGAAATCCGTCGTTTGCTGGCGTAGCACATAGAGTATTTCTAATTGAGTTTGTCTCATCTCACAATCCCCCATGTTAACCTTTCCCCTCTTCTGAAATTTTTGCGGACAAATATCATTCCTCAAAACAGCACACTTGCTATATATGGGTTGCTTCCACTTCAGTAGTCCCAATGCTTTGAAAAATCTGAGAAGGAATTCCATAAATTCCATCTCATTGACGATGTATTGAAGACTTCCTCAACTTGTGCAGGTTTTTTGTCGCATGATTTCGCTGACTGCCTCGCAATAACTTACTTGCCTACTCATGGAGAGGAGTGCAAGAGTCCTTTTTTTGTCATCAATGAGGCGTGTACATGGCTTTTCACTACAGATTAGCTTTGAAATTCGCGCATTTTGATTGACGGACATCAACGAGTGAGAGCGATCTGCCGCTGCAAGCTGCCTTTTATGAGAACGGAGGCATTGTCGTGTGTGTGTTCCCATCAGACAGTTGTGCGGCTCTGGTTGTTTGCGCCTGATGAAGTTCTCACACCAGAATTCGTTCCCACGCCCATTCATAGGGCCCAGCGCCAAATCGCTACTCGCATCGTAGCGTATCGTGCTCTCGGCTTCAGCGCAGTCATTCGCCGTGGAAGTCTCTTCTGACAGCGGCCGCGCAAGTGTCGTCCGATGTCGCGTATTTCGGAGTTGTCCTGTTAACGAGCAATTTCATTTCAACGCTCAAGTCATGGCTTATCGTTACTTCTGCCTTCCTTCTACAAATCTTTGAGCATCTTTCCTACAAGTGCGAACGAAGTCGTTCAGAGTGCGCTCACCCCTTCACTATCATGAATTTCTCGTCCAGAGCCATGCACATTCAATTCACCTCTCTTTTTTTGCCTTCGCCAAATTAACGAAGATAGCATGGACGTCGTAGATGCGTGTTGCGCTAGAAATCGCGGGGAGAGTGCATGCTTGTAATTAGAATTAGATTTATTGGAACACGCCGTCCTTTTCCATCGTACTAAAGTTTTTCTGTGGATTTGCTTAATTGCTGACTTCCCTATAGTGACAAAACTATCATGTGCATATGGGGCACAGCAAGTGGGGAAAGTGAAACTTGCGAGAACTTTTATGTTTAGACCTGATATAAGTATATATAGCTGCCCCCATTCCCTTCATTGTTTCTAGGTTTTATAACTTTGTGACTTCTTCCTATAGCGCAACAAGATTAGATAATTCATTTTTGTCTACAAAAAATTGCCTGGATAATATAAGGTTTTGCAGAGTCATGCAGCTAATCATAATATGAGTAGCTTCCGGAGTTTCAATGTTTGCAATGACAAACTCAGTTCTGCTCATTGTTCGGAATTTATGAGCTTGTCTTTACTTTCATTGTTTATTTTATTGGAAAATCTAATGCTTTTGCCTTCTCAAAAATGCAGTCTCAAAATCATCGAAGAAACGTCGTCTTATCATGTTTATTCGCGAGTCCCGCAATCCAGAAGCATGTTCTTGAAAACGGATAATTGCCTGTAATTTCTTTCTGAGCTATTTCGTCGCTTTAGTCGAGGTAGTCACATCTAATCAACAACTAGAGCGTCTCCTGAAAAAACTTGATGAACTTTTTGCTTTCCTTTCTCTGTCGTTCTCAGTAGTGCACAACATGTTGGCGCCATTTATGGTGCTGTTTTATCCTACTGAAGCGTAAGTAATGATTAGTAGTGTGCTGAATGTGGCGTTAGCGTCGTGATGCATTTCGCTTCAGCGAATTACGTGGATGTTTTGTTCTCTCCACTATCCAGATTTTGTGTTCGGTATGGGGCATCACGCTGTTCAGGCATGAAACCCGCCGAAGTCTCTGTAAATAAACAGTTTTCGTGTCCACGATCGTTCCTCTACTTGTCCGGTAGATTGTCGCTCGCTCGCTGCTACTCTGCTGCTGTGTCGCCGGTGGAAGCCGCGAAGCAGTCGTAATGACGGCTGGATCGGCGAATTATTCATGTTGGCCGCTGTGCCTCGGGGTCAACAATATGCTCGATTGAACGGGTCCCATTCTACTAGATTTCTGCTGCTGCTCTGCTCTTTGCAATCATCCGATTGGCATTTGCCTTCCTGCCCTTGTTTCGCCGGTGCGAGGATTTTCCATCGAAAAACTTACTTCATCTGCCTGAGTGAGCACATGAAAAAGGTGAATATTGGACTTTTTCATTGTTTTTTTCTTCTCGGCTCTATACCTTCGTCTTCTGCAACAAATCTCGTACAGTCTCTCCAAGTTCAACACGCCTACAAACCATATTCCTCGTTCAACGATGAGTCAAGCATGTTTTCACACACCTACTCTCTGTTGAAAAATAATGGCATAGCCTGAAAGTACAAACTTATTCCCAGCACTAACACGCCAACTTCTAATGGGTTTTTTTTTCGAACAATTACTTGGGAGCTCTCGAGGCCCTATTAAAGCAATTTGAAATGGAATAGTATGTATAGCTATCTTGAATCTTTCTGACTAAATCAAACAAAAATCAAACAGTTTTTTCTCTAATGTCGAATTCTTGAATCGAAATCAAATTACAAAGGCCATCAGCATGAATTTGCTGTAGTTTGATGTAGTCTTCATCGCATTTCAAGGATGTGTCCCGTACATAGTAAAACTTACGCTGCTCATTTGTATCTGCACACACACCCTCGCTGTCCTTTTGCACTTCTTATGCAATTTACTCACCACGCTCTATAATAGCGCGAGGCCTCGGACATTCCTGAAGCTTTTTTTTTCGCGCACTTGCCACTTTGACTTGAGAAAGTATAGCACGTCTCTGGAGCTGTTCGCGTGCGTTACGATAAGTAGTTCCGCCTGGTTCGTCCTTCTAAAGGTTCTTCTCACCAATGATTTTCTATCTTAATTCTAGATATCTTTGTCGTAACTTCCTAGACTCCGACCATGCTTCCTTGGTGCTTCCATTTCTAATCGCCTGAGTTCGTTAATTTATGAAAACGAGTTTTGAAAAAAATTTTCGTATTCACATTGCTATGTTGATCATTTCCAAAATCGTGTTATAACCAAAATAATTCGAAGAACAATTCTCAAATTAGTAAACACTAAAATTCACTTCGCAAATGGAGTGTTCCGCCTAAGAACATACAAATCAAGAAAAACACTTTGAGAATCATTTTGCAAATGGGATCAGTATTCCTGTTAAGAACATTACAAGAAAATCATGTAAACATTCTAAGAATCACGCAAACAGGATCAGTGGCTCTCGCACTGCAGAAATTCGCGTTTTTGTCAGTGATTGACTTTCATATGAGCAAGATCAGGGATATGGAAAGATTGGCGAATTTGTACAAGGTTGAAAAAACATTGTCTGGGTTATGCAAAACCTTTGCTTGCCTTGGCGACTTCGTTTGTTCCTGGAACACGTAGGGAAGTGTTGACTTGTGCAACTTAGTGCTACTCAGTAAACCATCAGTCTTGCTCTAATTTTACGAGATTTTTGCCCTCGATCTCGCTTTTCCACTCCATCATTGAAATGTGTTTTGTGTACTGCATTGCATGTCATCTCGTTGTGTTACGCGGTGTTTGATTTCAATCGCTCTGGCAGTAGATGGCTCGAAATCTCATCTCAGCCGCGTCAATCATCGTTTGCTCGCCAGTACTGCGTACCTCTTCATTGTCTTCGCATAATTGTATCGGGACCTATTCACACACAGACTGGCCCTCTGTTGCTCAATTCACTCACTACTCCAGTAGTGAAGCAGTTTATCGACAAAGCACCCCCCCCCCCCCGAATCCACATATATGCAATCCAGGCTTTGACTACCTCAGCATTGCCGTGCGGTCTGCGCTTCTAGTGAGAGCTATTGAACGTGACTATTAGCAATGAACATGGCATCAGCAATGCATTATTGATGTGTTACTACTTTAGAAGTTAACTGTTCTTCGCGCTGGTGCTCACTTCTATAATGTGAAATCGAGTTGTCCCGACTTTTCCCCCATCATTGCAATCTCGGACAATACATGTGCAGCTTGAAGAACTTGAGATTTGCAGAATAGCCTTGCACTCGTACTCCTGTACTTATTTCTCCGATAGCGTTCCTGCTCATGAGTGAAAACGGCAATACCAATAAACACCTACCATATGAACGAACATTTTACTAATTCCTACCCTTTCAATAATCTTTTGATAACTGAAAGAGCATATTTGTTCTCTACATCATTTCATCCACGATTCAGCTTTCATCCACTTTCGATGAGTCATAGTTTTGCAGGCATGGCGTCGTTGGCGTATCCCTCGACATCAGTACTACCTGATCCGTCCCATCGGATCTCGACAGGTTCGAACTCTAGCCAGGGAAGCTCCGGATTCGAAAGCATGAAGGTGAGGGCTCATTTGGAACATTGTTTTTCTTTGTTTGCTTTTTTTTCTGTCCAGTCCTTAAGGCCTATTAATTTGTCGGTGATCCACTCAATGTTTATTATTTGCTTAGTAACCGTTGTGCCAAATTCAGTCTTTCTGTTGTTAGCTCTGACCTAAATAAATAAGCAGTTTAAGCCTACGAACTATTTGATACGAATGGGAAACTGAGTAGTTTCTGCTTATTTTTCTCATAGGCACCCATTTCGCAAGAAAATGATATCACTTTGAATTTTTGACTATGTTGTCTTTAAAAAGTACCTAGTGTTCCTTTTCAATTTTTTACGGAGCCTCTTGTTAATATTAAGATTTGTATATTGGAAACTGGCGTAAAGAAAATGAACACATCTTCCATCCAAAAGGCAGAACAGCTCCGCGCATGATCGCACGAATGAGTGACAAATTGACGAGCATATGCTGATGACAATATCAGATAAAAAGCGATGGCGAATCGACTGAGCTTGACGTGCTTCATTTCAGTCGCATGGAACTACTTCTGCTTCATCGTCGTCTTCGTCGTTCCATACCTCCTCCCTCCTTACCCCTAGTCACACAGACTCACCGCCTAGCCGTATAAGCGTACATTCGAGTGGAAGTGGTGGCAGGTTAGCTAGTTAACTGCAGTTTTTGACTCGTGTAAAAAGTTCAACTAGACTTGCATCATCATGAATATTCAGTGGATCATCGTCGCTCGCTTCGTCATCGGTTGATGCGCTTGACGAGTCGTTTTACTCATCGGCTTCGGAGGCGCCAGTAAATGTCACACAGATGGTGGCGAAAGGCGTGCCGGAGGCTGAAATTCTAGCCATCTGGTTAGATAAGATTGGTATGGCCGAGTATCTGGCGCTATTCCTCACACAAGGCTACGATCTGTCCTCAATAGGTACTCAAAACTGTTCGAAAACAACTGAAAATCTTTGCATCTCCGGTTTCAGCACGAATAACCCCGGAAGACCTGTTAACTCTTGGAATCACAAATCCGGCTCATCGAAAACGGCTCATGACGGATATTCATAGTTGGCAGATCACAGACAGCTGGCCATCTGTGCCTCCCCAAGGCGGATTGAGGTCAGTCCCTCGTGGGATTACTTTTTATGGTTTTGTTTATGTGCCTAAGCGTTCCGCTTTGCAGTGAATGGTTAACGTTGCTGGCTTTACCAGAGTACATAAGTGTTTTCGACTCACAGGGATATGATACAGTACAGGAAGTCATGAATTTGAGTTGGGAAGATTTTGAGGATATAGGAGTGAAGAGGTTGGGACATCTGAAACGACTAGGCTTGGCGATCAAGAAACTAAAGGTAGGGTTGGCTGGAAGCATTTTCTGGAAAAGATTTGCTGTTGAAGTCAGACGAAAGCACTGACTTGCAGGATTATCGACGTTCGATGAATAATCCAGTAGACCCGGTGGCGAATGCAAGCAAAGTCCATCCAGTGCAGGTGCCCTCGCCAATGCTTTCTGCACGCTCCGTCGCATCGCCGCAGGAGCAACCAGTTCCCCCGTCAAGGTAAGAATATTTGTTGCTGTGAAAACTGTACGATGATAAATCTGCTTTTTCTAGGAGAAATGACCCGCCACCTCCAGCTCCTTCCAGTTTATACCGGACAAAAGCGAACCTGAATGGGAACATCGATTATATAAGCTACTCAAGGGGATCGAAAGTGAGTCCACTGCCAGAGCAACTCACTGCTACTTCTATTTTTGATCCAATAAAACTTCCAGAACCCACCTGCTCCTCCATCAAGGGCTAGTGAAGAGAGCTCTGGAACTTACAGCGAGTTGAGAAGAACCTCAAAAGGATCTTATGACCCTATATTTGATAAGGTCAGTTAATACATAACATTGCTTGCTCAAGTTACCTTTCACAAGGTCATGACAATGATCACTACTTTTAGATCGAGCCGATAAGGTTAAATTTGGTGTCAACTGGAAAAATTCTTAGTGAAGCAAGCCGTGAACGCGACACCCCATCAAGTCTTGGTGCTCCAAATGCTGACTGCCCTCCACCTCCTGGTAAAACTTAAAGTTCTACTTTTTTGATATTTTGAATATTGGACAAAAAAAGAGTGAAAAGACAGGCTACCTCAGTTTGTACCGTGTTCAACTGACGTTAAATATGGTGCAGTTGCGTTGCCGACAACATTTGGGCGAAAGACAATTTTCATTTTTGAACCGACAACTTTGTTACTTTTCGTTTAAAAATGGCCGTAGAGCGCACTTGCCATTATTTACTCGCTGATGTTGCCAATCGCAACTAACTGTATCTACCGTCAAGTCTATGCATATATAAGTGATGCAAAATACTGGAATTACTGATTTCTGGCGTAAAAGTTAGAGTACCACAGAAAATTGTGCTGCAAGTTTTTTTAAGTTCTTAACTAATAAGCATGAATCGATTTAGCCCCTCTACACTGCGAAGGATCCATTCGTCGTCTGCAACATGCATTCCAGTCATCTGCAGGAAGCAGCGGTGGATCATCCTCTAGTTTAGAACAACTGCCATTTGCCAATGAAAATTGTGGAACAATAAAGTGAGTTTTGCTCTGCAGCACTACATTTTGCATTTTATGCATGGTTAAGACTGATTGTTTAGGTCTAGAGAAGAATCTGCGAGAAAATCAAGCATATCGCAACCGCAAACGCCTCGAAAATCACTGCCAATGAAGATTCCTGATTGCTCAGCGTCTAGCTGGTGTGTTTTGTTGGTTTATTTTACATTGAAGTCACTTTTTTTGTAGTTACGGTGTCAAAAATCAACAGAAACCTGGGTTACTTACCTAGAAATTCCTAGCAACTAGAAAATGATTGATAAGATGTAGTTTCGGACAACAAAGCATTAGAGCACCTTTCAGTTTTGGAGCGCGTGAAATGTAGAGACTCAGGCCGATTTTCCTGCTCGTCGCGCTTGCGTACGCTTCGCTTTTATAGAGTCCGCCTTCGTCTGGGAGAGACTATAATCCTCATTAGTTTTACGTGGTTGTGCGCAGTGGTTTTACGCAATGGTAAATCTGAGTTTAGACGAATAATTAACCAAAACGCTACTAATACCGTGAAATTTTGATCAACATATCTGTAATTAGTGTTTCAGTGAGAAGTCGGCGCATCCAGTCGGTCCTAACGGGAACGTCCTGTCCGATATTGGTTTTATGCTACAAAACCTGACAGATGAGTTGGATGCAATGTTGGATCCGGCAAAACCTACAGTGAAGATGCCTCCTCTCTTTCCTGTACCAAAATAGTCCTTCATCTACGAAACTTCCGTGCATTTCGGTTAAATCTGCCTAGTTCAGCCTCCTTTGTGTTGGATTCGTCCGATTCACGTATAAATCATATCTGAATTTTTTTTTCGTTTCATGACGCTGCTGAGTACGGTGTATCATTAGGAGCTACTGTGGATGATTGTAGTCTGACTTCTGCGATCACCACTTTTTGTTTGTATCACATCTTTCGGACAATCATTTGTGTCATAGTTCTGTTCGTTCTTTGTTTAAATGAGCAGTGCGATTTTTGAGGTTGAGCAGGTAGTGCTAGTTCTCACTCATTCTTTGCTGATTAAAAGCCGGTCAATTCAATCATAATTGCTGCGAACGGCGATCAGTTGAAATCCGTATATTTTTGTAAATGAGCCCTGAATGTTACGTAGAAATAATAAATCATTTCTCTTTATTTCGTACAGAAGTAATTAAGCTCATTAGAAATGCTGGGATAGAAGCCGCAATCTTATTTCAAACGCTAGATCCTGTCATCTTAGTGCCGTTCAATGTATCCTGAGTCCTATATGCGAACATTGACTTTCCCCCAATTTTTCCTATCAAGTAGGGCTGTTGGCGAGCTCCTTTGCTGTGTTGATCCCGATCTGAATAGTCCAGACCTTTGCAAAAAATTGTGGAATTTCTCTTGTAGAATTTCTGCTAATTATTGTTGCGACGGCTTTTTTACCGGACTCTGAAATTCCTTTTCTCTTGCGTGAACCACATGAAGTATTTTATCTGGAACGTCCTCAGCCACTAATAAGAGCTAGGATAGGCGCTTTTGCTGCTTTTTTTCCAATTATTACCTATACCAGGTGTTCCAAAATAATGTGCAATTGTTTGATCGTTAATAACTCGCTTGCTACGATGTCCTTCCAGATCTTGAGGTACCATTCTGTAGTGCTGGCATAGGCGAATCTCCGATCCCTCTTCGTTAGTGTAGAATTACGGTAGGAACTTTAATGAGGGTTTTAAGCTTAGTCGCATTATGCTTCAGAAAGAAAGCTAAAGCCATAAACTCCCATACTAGGCTAATCAAAGTCGCTCTTTCAGATGTAAAATTTGCACATCGGTCAGGCTCCCTTCGTAAGTTATTTCAAGATAACCGTAACAACTGCTTTTCCAGTGTTCTTCAAAAATGTAATTACAACTCTCACAAAGGGCCAAAAATCTTGTAACAAGTTGCATAATGAAAACAACATGTTTGGAAAACCCTGTTACACAAATTTCCAAGTTTTTTGTGGAATTTTCATCAAACGGCCTAATTTAAATTCGCTGTATGCAAGTTCATACCTTGATTTCAGTAGTAGTGAAGAGAGATCGGAGTTTCGAATCATATTGATAGTCTATGCTGAAGCAAGCTTTACAGATTGGTACCTAAAGATCGGCAAAAGACAGTGAAGCAAGCGAGTTACTAACGATCAAACAATGCGCATTATTCTGGGACACTTGTGGCGACTCGGTGGGCTCATGGCACCTAGATGTAACCCGAGGCCTGATGCTCGCCCGATACTAAACGACGTACCTAGCCTACTGCGCACTAACGCGCGACCGAACTGAACGCAAGGCTAATTAAGTAGTTTATCCTTATGACACTAAACTACAGTTAAAATAGATAAAAAAGAATACTACACTAAAACAAAGCAAATACTACTACTACTAAAACACGGGACGAGGGCCCGTCCCATGCTACCGATGCGCGTCTACAGATAATCTCAAAAATACATGAGGCTCCCGAGGTTTCGCGCAACAAATCCACCGCGCAACGCCAAGGTGTAGACGACGGCACGTCCCCTCCAGCTCCTGTAGATGATTTCCGGTTAGTACTAAGCGCGTCGACTGCGCTGACAAAAAGGAATCCGCTTTCTAATCCAAAAGACATCCGGCTCAACTGCTCTTACAAAAAAAGGACAGGAGCATGGCGGCTGAAACGTAATTCGAACAAGAAATTCAAAATCAATCAATAGGACGAAGGCGAACAAGGCAACCAAATGAGGCGCCGCCGCTTTATATAGCCGCCTGGCTGGCAACGAGCCAATTAAGGAGAGGTCCGGAGACGATCGCGGCAACACGCGTCTCGGCTACCGTAATCGTCGCCGGATAGCGCGGTAACCGATGCCCCCGGCCTCCGTACTTCGAGGAGCGCCTTGCATCGCGAGACGCGACACTCCCCCCCCCCCCCGAAGCAGTGGCTTGAGCGTTCGAATGGTGGTTACGTGATGACACCGGGGATTTGCGGCTACTACCTTTGCCTGAAGTTTTAGGTGGTAAAAAGTAAAAGAAAGTCATCGGTAGCATAGTAGGAGCGCGCGAGAAAGATGGAAATTCAGGAATCAACCCGTCCCGTGAGAAAATCGACTTGAAGAACGGCGCACGAAGCGCAATTACACTGTAATACCAGGATAAAACTCAAAATATCTATGAAATGAGTATCATATGATGTGAGTAAATACTGAGCTCAGAAATGATTATATGAAAATTACTAACTACTACGAAAAACTACTGCTATGAAGGTGATTAGGATATGATCATAGAGGACGTAGGACGGGTAGTGGCTGCTGCTCGTGGGTTGGAGACCTGGGCCATTTCCTCGGTATAGGCGAGATAAACACAGCTCCATTTGACCAGGATGCGTCACGAATGATGGAACGGTACTGTAACACATGATCTTTACATGGTCAACGAGCGATAGAAAGGAACCATGCTTACTATACAAAGTTCGTAGTAAGATGGAAAGGTCCAGCATACAGCCACACACCTCGAAACCCTACAGTGCGCGCACCTAAACGACACGTGAGGACGCGCGAGCTTACTGCCGATGTTTGGGGCGCAAGGAAAAAAAAGCCTTCCCTGATGGTATGGGGCCAAATATATATATATACCTACGTGCAAGAAACTCTTACAAACTGCGACCAATGCTGTTTTTCAGTAGCAAAAACGCAAAATCGTAAAAACTACTGGCAAATGGATGTAGTCAGGCCTCTCGCGACCATGGTAAATTGCCGAAAGCAAATGCGCGCAAGCTGAATTCTACGTGGCGAGTAATTGAACGTGGACTAGGTGAAGCAGTATGCGATAATGCTAAAGACGTTTGGAGCGCAGCTGAAAGTGAGATCCATCCTACGCGCGACCGTCCGAGTAAGGAGCAAAAGGACCAAAGCGAGCAAAAGATTGAAAAATAAGTTATAAGCTCATCTGAGTATCATCCTGCGTTAGCGCACCGAGAGCCACCTGTATTGGCCGTAAGAGTGGAAGAGAGACGGTTCAACGCAACAGCTCCAGCAGGCAATGGACTGGCAGGAAGGCAAAGAGTGACCTAAATTTCGAACACAAGAAGGGAAAAGTCAAAAAGTAACAAAGTAAAAAGGAAAACACATAAGAAATTAAATGATTTAACTAAATCTATACTTGAAAAGTGTAAAAAATATTAGTTCAAGATTAATGGTTCGCCTTTACCTTCCTCAGTGGTCATTGCTCTCGTGCGTCGCTGTCGAAGCGGAGGCTTCCGGGTGGGTAGGCTGCTGGTTCATACAGATGGAGCTCTGAGAGACGGGAGGCGCGCTAGACGATCGTAGAATGGAACCTGCACGTCTTGTGCTGGGTGAATACTTTTGGCGCCTGGATGACGAAGGCGACCTTGACTTGCTTACACTCGGCGAAGGTGTGCGTGAACTGTGTTGTACGCGATGACAGTTACACGCTTCTTCCTCGAACTGGACGCGTCTAGGCGGTACATGGTGATAAGTAGATGTCAATGGCCTGTAATAAGACGCTCGTGGTCTATCAAAGCACAGAGCAGGATGGTGAGCTCTGCCACAGTATCCGCACGTAGGTGCTGAACAAAATCTGCATTGATGACCTTGGTTCAAGCACAACCAACAAAGTCCGCTTTCGTTAACGATGGCTCTGCGTTGTTTGACGCTCCTTACTTCGAAGCAGTTCTCCGGTCGGTGTCCTTCCCGTTCGCAGAATACGCAACGATATTCTTGGTGCTGTGGTGGACATGCTGGACTGCGCGACGAGCGTCGTGAATATTATGGTGTTGGCGATCGACTTCTCACGGAATGGTATCCAGATGGTGAACGTAAGCTGCGCGAACAAGTAGCACAAGATGACTGATGGTATGATGATCTACTCGGCTGCTCACTAGGGTACCTGCGCGAGGAAAGAGAACCTTGACGAACTGCAGAGTCAGAGTTGCAGGTGGGATAATACTCAGGAACGGTATCCTCTATGGTTTCTTGCTGATCGATCACTTCATCGAGGGCTACCAATAGCTCGTCGACGTCCACATCGCATCTCCTTTCTTCTTCAGTTCGCCAACTTTCTCGCACGTATGCCTTGGGAACTTCGAACGGATGGTCTTCAGTACGGCGATAGAGCGAGACTCCTCGTTGAGTCTTTTCATCTGGGCCCAAGTTGCTCTTATACTGCACAGAGTGGTGCGCTGAGAAGTAGCACTATCTCTCGCGCGTGCCTGGTGCTTGAGTTTCTCCCAGAGACGGTTGCGAAGGAGCTCGGGTCTGCTATAAGTGCTCTCGATAATGCGTACTGCTTCTGTGTAATCCTCTTCATTAGGTTCGAAGTCCGCGATGATTTCAGCTGCTTCTTCCTTCATGCGCGATTGGAGGTACATGAACTTGAACGAAACGGGTACACTGGTGTTGTTGTGCACAGCCTTCTTGAACATGGTCCAAAATGCGGGAAACTTGGCAATGTCGCCATGAAATGCTGGTATATCGTATGCGGGTATGGTGAACGACTGCTCCAAGGTGGGAGGATGGGGGACTAGGGACGGAGATGAGTTAGTAGTCTGGGGGCTAGGATATGGCAAGGTGATGGGGATCCCAGGGGGGTAAGGGTTTGCCGAAAGAATGGGGTCCGTTGATGGGTTGCCCGGGGGAATGCCAGATCCAAGGGGAAGCGAGGGCTGCTCACCCTGTGCTGGGATCGCAGAGTCGCTCGCAGTGGGATGAACAGCAGGCGCGGCTGATAAGGGATCAGATGGACGATCCTGCTCCGACGAATGGGTGACGCGCTCGACATCCGCATCTTGCGCGAGCTGGTGGGTGGGGACAGAGGGTTGAAGGGTGTTAGAAGACGCTGGTGACAGGTTGGAATTGGGGACTGTAGGCATGGAAGCAATCGAAGAAACGTGATGATCGTAGAGCATATCCGCATTAGGCAAGAGTTTGATCTCATTACCCAAACGGTCAAGCAGAGTGTCCGCCTCATCCAAGAGATCATCCATCTCACTGGAGTCCCAGTGCGCGAGAATCTCCTGGAGAAGGGAAAACTCTCCATGCTCGTCTGGATTCTGACGAGCAAACTCCTCAGCCTTCTCCCGCTGAGTGCGTAAGGAAGAAGCAGCGCGACTAATCAAAGAAAACAAGTTTGAAAGAAAACGAATATGATTTTTAACAAGTTCGTAGTCCTTGCCTGGCTCGCTCGAATGTAGGGCTTTCCATAACAATATTGGCCTGTTCGACCTCCGCGATCTTCTTGCGCAGTCTGTTAGCCGCTTTCGTAAGTTGAGCCTTTTGATAGCCAAGAGCAGACATATCTGAAAATGCAAGGGACAGCCGGAACGATTAAACAACGTTGAACGACAAACATACACACGTAGAACAAACGTTGCGCAAAAATGTTAGGGAGCAACCCGCTAAATTAACTCAAAACTGAGCTTAAGCTATTAAATACTAAATACCTAAACTACGAACCCTAAGGAGGGAGACAACCCAACTGGCGCACAACGTTAGGAGGATAGCAGTAGGCGCGAGGCAAGTAGTTGAACAAGGTGGTCAAGAAGGGACAAAGCGTTCCCCTTAGAGCGACGCGAATAACACACGAACAAAGCAAAGCGGTTGCATACCAGAAAGAACTACCTGGAGCCATGGGTATGGGATTGTTGCAGTGGCCTCCCCCTGCGGATGTCCCTACGACGGTTTTGCCCCTACAGCGAATTAGCCCCTGCGGATACCCCTGCGGAATTCTTGCCCCTGCGGCTAAAAGGTCAGAACAACGACCTCACACCACTCCAGATAGCCCTTCTGAGTTCACCGCCATACCCGTATAAGACAATGCGCTGGCGCCTGGAGCTCATAGTCAGCAGTTGCTGCCACCAACTACTACTAATCACCCCACGCATTGGCTATACTTTGCGCGGCTGCAATGCTATGTGTTACCTGTAACCTAGATGACGCGACGAGCATGCCCTGTCCAACTACTTCCCTGATGGCAAACTAGGTGCGGAGCGTGGTAGACTACGGGATCGTTATGCACGCATGGAGGATGGGATAGCTAAAAAGCGCTCTTACTGCGCGAAAACCTGCTGTGATGTTACCTACCCATCGCGACTTAGGAACGCGGCTACCCAAACAAAAACCCACACGCGGACGGAATACCGCATCCACCATGCGCTCGGCGTCGATGCACCATGTGGCGACTCGGTGGGCTCATGGCACCTAGATGTAACCCGAGGCCTGATGCTCGCCCGATACCAAACGACGTACCTAGCCTACTGCGCACTAACGCGCGACCGAACTGAACGCAAGGCTAATTAAGTAGTTTATCCTTATGACACTAAACTACAGTTAAAATAGATAAAAAAGAATACTACACTAAAACAAAGCAAATACTACTACTACTAAAACACGGGACGAGGGCCCGTCCCATGCTACCGATGCGCGTCTACAGATAATCTCAAAAATACATGAGGCTCCCGAGGTTTCGCGCAACAAATCCACCGCGCAACGCCAAGGTGTAGACGACGGCACGTCCCCTCCAGCTCCTGTAGATGATTTCCGGTTAGTACTAAGCGCGTCGACTGCGCTGACGAAAAGGAATCCGCTTTCTAATCCAAAAGACATCCGGCTCAACTGCTCTTACAAAAAAAGGACAGGAGCATGGCGGCTGAAACGTAATTCGAACAAGAAATTCAAAATCAATCAATAGGACGAAGGCGAACAAGGCAACCAAATGAGGCGCCGCCGCTTTATATAGCCGCCTGGCTGGCAACGAGCCAATTAAGGAGAGGTCCGGAGACGATCGCGGCAACACGCGTCTCGGCTACCGTAATCGTCGCCGGATAGCGCGGTAACCGATGCCCCCGGCCTCCGTACTTCGAGGAGCGCCTTGCATCGCGAGACGCGACAACACTGGATTTTAAAGGGCATTCGCTTACGCACTTCGCTGAAATAATCCGAGAAGAGGTGTGGCTCTTATCTTGATTTTGCGAGAAGAACATTTGCCAAACCAAAACCAAATTATGGAAATTACAAGGATCAAAATGTATGCTTCCTTAAATTCCTCTGGCATCAGCGCGCGTTTGAGTATTATGCTGCCGTACCTGTAGTGCATTTTTTTCTTTAAAGTGATTCTATGCTATTAACATTCCTTGAGCACAGCTTCATTTGTAGCGACAAGATTCAACAACATAATAGACAGTGAAAGTATCTTGGTTGAATAGAATGTACCAAAATCAGAAAGAGCTAGGATACCAAATGCTTACTCTGAAGCCCGCTTTATGAACAGAACTCTAGTTTTCCATTCGCTACCGGCTTGTATGGGCTTCGAGAAGCGGTCACCGGCGCGGTATAGCCTGTACTCCCTACCGTACACTACGTAACTTCTCTAGAAGTTCTCATTTTACTAAAACATTAAGATATTCGCGACCAGCACTGTCGAATACCCCTTGAACGATATTACAGCGGATCCGGGATTTAGGCACCCTACCATAGACCTACCGTAATTTCACGAAAGGTCTCATTATGCTGAAAGAGTACGGTCTTCGTAAAAAAATAATAACTCCCAACTTCTTTGAGCGAAATCGCGACTTTGATGTCTTGTGGCCCCGATATTGGAATGGCACCGGATCCTGAACTCCGATGAGCTTGCGTCGGGCGGGTCACTGAAATGCGTCCCAACCTCTGGCGACTGGCATTGAACACCGGTACCGCTTATTAATGCCACTCGCTGAGTTGCCTGTCAACAACAGTTTTCGAACATATCCTCAATGGACTATACTAAAAAGTTGCTTTTTCTTCTTCCTTTATCCAATAAATACCATGTCATGTGAGCCAAAAATAGTACGGACGATGTCCTTTTATGCAGAGGCACACCATCACACGAAGACAGTATAACAATTTATCTTATGCTGTAGTGTTTTGGCAGTAGCTCACAATCAACTTTCACGGTAATTCATTTCATGGTATTTGTGTAAGAACTGTAATGACATTCTTCGGTGCAAGTGGTCTTATAGCCACTCCCCGATACCTTGTTTTTCTCAGTTTGCTGATTTATAGTGCACCTGATGATATCAAAGTATGAATTTCTCTCTGGACCTGTAGTCCTGAGGACAGAATTTGAGCGCTGGCAAGTAATCCATTTATAATAGGAATGCTATGCGCCATTCCAACTCTGTCATCATATTCTTCAGTCATCAGTATTTACGGGGATCTCATTGCTTGATGTGCTTCCTCTCAGTCTTCTCGCATAACGAGAAAAAGTCACATTAATTTCAAGGAAGGGTTTTTTTAACTCTTGTAAAAGAGATCTCAGTTTTGCCAGCAGAAGTTCTACCTTTTCTGCTCACATCTTGTTGCGCGTTCATTTTTGGCCTTCTGCTGCTGAACCCAGGTAAAGAAGCTCTCCTAATAGTTCTCAGACTTTTGTGACCACAAATCCTGCTGGAATTCAAGATTTAAGTTAATTGGCAGAAGAACTAGTAAGTTTTGTCTTGATGCCACAGAGCTTGATGTAATTGTTTTGTTACATGTACAGTGAGGCGACAATGATCGCCGAAGGAGTTCGTTGCGCCTTTGCAGCAAATGACGAAGTCAAGATTAAGGCGATAGTGTTGTGGAAGGCTCCTCTCAGATCTTCATCTCGCAGACGACATTTTTTTCCTTAACAATATCGTGAAGCATTGACGATTATGAAGGAATGAAAGCATTTAGGGAAGAAGTTTGGAAGGGGAAAGTTTGGACTGCGAGTCAATAGTGGATGATCTCAGTTCATGGACTAAGACTGGCCCGAATTCGGCTTTTCAAAGGATGCCATCGGTCGCCTAAACAGCCTGAGCTACGAACTTGCCTATTTCAGGCATTCATATCCCAGCGTTCCTTGCTTAGATCTGGACGGCACTGCAGCTACGTTTAAAACTCTACGGAAGGCGCACCGCGCTTGAGTAATTCTCTGGAACTCACCACACAAAATCTGGCTGGAATTCGCACCCATTATGTGGTGAACTCCCAACGGCGTGACCCAGCGAAATACGTCGCGAAAGATGTGGAGGACGTCCGATCAGGCTCTGTATCCTTTCCCTATAAGAACAGGCGTTAAATAGGCTCTGGGACATCAGAGTGGATACCGCGCGAAGCAAAAGCCCTCGAGGAAGACCACCAGTGAGATAGCCAGACCTGTCGGACGATTGAATCAGAAAAGAAAAGCTGGATACACTTACACGTGGCTCCCGCAATGCCATCACCACCGAATAATCAAAAGATCTTGGATGGAAAAGCCTGAGCTGCAGCCTGCACATTACGCGTACAGGCCATCTCACTATCCAATCGTCTAGACCAACATAACTTTTGTTGTTGTTTGTGCTATGTAAGCAAAAACTACAGCAGCAACTCGCCTATTGTAGCAATTCACTTTGTATCCTACAAGATGACTTTGATGACTTTGAAGTATCGTCGATTCATGACACGCAAAGACTGGACGCCGTTGCGTCCGACGAAGATAGTTTGTGCATAGGAGAGACAGCAGACGGTAAGAGAAATGAAAGAGCGCACGATCACGGAGACGCCGATATGTCCGCAGTCTTTGCGTGCTATAATCGCCTTGAAATCATCTTAGACAGTTACCCTCCGGCAAGCTTTATTAAAGCAGACGTGCCAATCTATCGTTTATTGATTTTTATCGGATTCTTGCCCCAAACCATTACTTTTCATGGAACTTATAGTACATACGTTCACGCATATATTCAAGGGCTGATGCCTAGCAAGGCCAAAAAGGTACGAGTACTCGATGGATCTTTTGCAAGCGAACTCTCCAAGGTAGTGCCTGGTTTCTTTGAGCAGGTAACTAGTTACAAACACATCCTTTTCCAAAAGTGTAGAATACAGTTAACTTTGTCTAGGAATGCCCTAACTGGACATTCGATGCAGTCATTCATCAACCAAAAGCAGTCGTGAAGGTACACAAGAGGTGACAAACCGTTCCTATATCACTGATGTTGTTAGCGATTTTCGGATCCGGCAAGGGGGACGACAAGAAAATTTTGGTTAATTTGAAGCAGCTTAAGCCACAACCTCCGAAAAAAGCTTTAGATGCTTTTGAAATTTTTACATTTTCATAACTTGCAATTTGTCAAAAAAGTGGCGTAGCCGAAAAGCAGCGAAAATTGTTAGTTTTCTTCCTTTGCAACAGTGACTGTATACTAAATTCTACAACAAAGTTCTCTATGAATTTGCAAACCACCTATGTAAACATGTGAAAATCAGTGCATATGAATTTTTTCCATTTTTTTGGTTTCATTTCTCATACTGTTGGTTTAGGTGGATTACATGACTGTTTTTATCGGCATATAAATCTCAGGAACATACCTGTGGTTTTTCGTAATTTTAGAAATAATTTTGTTGCTTAAATGCTTTTCTTACCTTCAGTGACGCTTGTTTGTCAATCAACGCTCCTGAATACTCTTTATACTTAACTATCATATTTTTATCAAAACTATTAGCACTCTCTTTCACTATCTTCATACAAATGCAGTTATTATTTGAAAATGGATTGGTAATGGGAAATGAGTAATAATGCTTTAGTGGTTGTCTTGAAGTGAAGAACAAATGGGAGTTGGTCTTCACATGGACTAGATAAATTGAAGAATTTTGATGAATCATGCAGAGCAGCTAGAGAACATGTTGGAATTTTTTAAACTGGTGTAGGGTGGAGTATTGAGCTTGTTTATAGTAGAAAGACTTTTTCAGCGAGCGTGGGTCCGAATAAGGAGCATGGCAACATTTTGAGAAAGTTCATCTACATATCCATGTACTGTCTGATCACGGAGTTTTCCAACCTTTTGACCTTCTTGCCTTTTGCTTCTCACAAACCAAAATATCGACCGCGAGCCCTACGTACATTAGATATAGGATACTGCAGACACCGGTGGTTCCATCACTCTGGGATTCCGAATTTTTAAAGAGGGTATGGTATTACGGAGAGCAAACTGCCTCCAGTTTTTTGGCCATATCTCTGGTAAACAACCACAAGCGCTGCATTTAAGAACATTAGATCTGATTTTCAACCGCTTTTTTCTTCTAGAACTTGCCATAAGTACGCTTATAGCGGCAATTTTCTCGTAATTTTCAAAAGTTTTGTTATACTAGACAAACAGCTTTGCATGACCGGACACAAGGTTTATTGTTAGTGTCAGCGTGGCAGAGTAGCCTAATAAGACGAGCTTACAATTTCTTGAAAAACTAAAGTGGCCACTTCTACGATGGCGCTCGTGTACACATGGACTTCCTCCCGTAAGCCTACATTAATAAAAAAAACGATGTTCGATTTTTCTACTCCGTGAATTTGAGTACACTGCCCCTCAACCGGTATCTTATGATAGACGTAAATGTTTGCACAGGACGATGGATTTTGACCAATTATGATTCTTTTTTACATTATTCTTAACATCGTGGGAAACAAGCTGTGATTTTTTGAGATGAAAGAAAGTAGGTGTTTCATTTCAGCTTCATTGATGCAGGAGTTGACGACATAACGACCAACACTTATCATGCCTCATTACCATTGTTACAGGAACAGGGGCTGGACGGTCGAGCACTGATTAAGGTAGGAATTAGTGTACAACTTTAGTAGAAGTTTATTCGAAGGTACAACAATATGAGGCTGTGTTACATTGAGTTTCTCCCTGGCTCATTTTCGAACGGTTTGTTGTGAGCAGCGACAGGAGAGCTGATCTTGGCCATACAGAAGTAATTCTCTGTAGGCAAGCTCACTAATTTTCAGCTGCCAAACTCTCACTTAGGTTTGAATCTGCGGTACCCCCATATCGAATGTGTCTTTTTTGCTATACATACCTTTCCCGGGAGGGGGGGGGGGGGGAGAAACTCTAAATGAAGATGCGTGGGGTTAGCCACGCCCTGAAAAATACTTGGTTCATTTGCACGCTTTTATAACCTATGTAAGTAAATTTCAAAAATCTCGCGACTTATTCTCGGGCGAGGGGGGGGGGCCTTCGGTCCGCAACTGATACTTTTTTAATCCATCTCGTTCAATTTGACAAAAAAAAAACGCATGTTTATAGATCGAAAGTTTAGGTTGTTTGAATAGTCCTCCTCAAGCTGTACCTGATTCTTGCAGTGCAGAATTTTTTGAATCAAAGTGGATTAAGATATCGAAAGAGTATGTAAACAATGATCACTACAGTTTTCCTTTCTTTTGTTACTATGCACTTTTTGAAAGGTTTGCCTCTCTGCCTATTTATAGCTTTCCAGTTGCACTTGAGAGTCGTCACTAGACAGTTCTATTGGCCTGACGTGAGCGTTCACATTCGTAAAAAAGCAGTCCCTTAGAATTAAAGGAGTCATCAGAAGTCTGCGCTGGGATCAAACAAGCGGTCGTCGTCAGGAACTATGATCAGCTTTTTAGAAAGCTGTTGACCTACTAAAGGAACTACTTCCAACTTATCATGCTAAAGAAGGGAGAAGGATTTGGGCTGCCTTAGGATCTTATGCCATCAATTTTCGCGGTCAAGCTGCCGAATACACAGGATCCTACGTCGATTCCTTACCTTCAGACAAAATTCTGGCGGTACTTTTCTTGATGGCTCACTCAAGCCGTGAATATCAATACCAAACCTTTGAGGTTATGACAGATTTTCATGCTGGGCAAATCAAAGCTGTGGTGGAAGCTGGATTGACTAATATACTGTTCGAGACGGTCAGCTCCCTGCTTGAAGGAAAAGCAATCTCACAGGCTCTAAGCATGAGCCACTGTAATGATATAAAGGCTATCGTGTCGTTCACTTGTAAAAAGGTTTGCGATCTTTTCATATATTCCAATCTGTCTTATTTTTTCCGAGCGAAAAATAGTTGCTAGTATTATTAATAGGCTGTTAACCAAGTTTTTGCAACTGCTTGTAACTTTTCGCTTTTTGATATTGGTGCGGTCATTTTTTTTATTGTGTACATCATGATGTGATCTACAGACTCGCTCAAACCGCTTATAAACTAAAAATCAGGAATATTTCAAGATAAAATCAATGATTTCGAGGAACTATGGGTTGTAAGCAAAAATGAAGCCATTTCCAACCCAGACCAAACACAACGATCCGAAATTGAACAAATTTGTTGCGAGAAGTTGATTTATCTAGCTCTAGTCGAAAGGAATGGAATTTGAGGATAACTTGAGTTCTGGCACCCTCGCAATTGGTGGAGGCTGTACCCGGCTGTTGAGGGACAACGGTTAATAACTAGGGAGTCGAGATGTCAGATTTCGCCGAAACATTGCCAAGTGGAGTTATTTAACCTGCCGAACACGAATATCATAATCACTGTCGAAGTAAGGCCTCCTTACGTTTACAGGATAATGCTCCATTCCGTAAATTTATTGAGACCTTACTAAGAAAACCTACCACACAAAAGCAGTAACGTTTTCGCGATCAGCATGTTAGGTATCCTCCCTAAGCCATGTTTCAGCCAAAAGTATACTGATAAAGTTTTCCTGTTGTGCACCGTATGTCTACCGAACCCTCACGACGACGTCAGAATTTAGCAGAACCGAAGCTGTAGGCAATTTGACTGCGATGTTCAATGAGAGAGAATCCAAAAAAGTCAAATCTCAAAAGTTGCAGCAGGGTTTTCGCGCACGCTGATTTCATAATTAGTTTTTTACGGGTTTTCAGGCTTTTTGAATGATGTAATCACCTTCTTGACGAACTAAAGAAATAGCTCTCAGATATACTTGAGATAACGAATGAAATTTGGTAAAGTGCAAAATTTATATTTAGGATCAGCGACCCTGATTGATCTAACGTAAAATTTTGAGCTTTATTGGTTTTCCTTACTGAGACGCCCCTCAGGAACTTAGACCCTTCTTAAAGTTTAACATGATTCTACAGTAGCGAAAAGCGATGGATTCGCACCATACTGTATCCAGCATGGGAAGGCACTTAGCATAGCTCGACCTTGTTGAAAGAGACATCTATTTTACATCAGCTGAAACACCGATTCCAAATACGCTATTTCTAGCTGCGGCGCATCATCTGGAGCGAATTATTGATTCTATTCTATGCAGAATCTGCATACGACTTAGCGGCAACATCATCTAAGTGCTAATACGCTTGCGTTAGACTTCCTGTCAGTAAGAATTCGATTTGATGCTATTTGTATATCCCAGCACCTTTTCGGACAGATTTTTGCCTACAGGCAGTCTTTTTATGCTGACAAGGAGTAGCATGCCAATTTCGCACGGTGTAAAGCTCATAATTTGTTTCAAAATGGTGCGCCGCAGTAGGAATAGCATATTTGGAGCCAGCGCTTCATGGATTCAGAATATCTATGTTTCTTTCCGAAAGGTCAAGCTAACAAGGGAATGGTCGGAAGTCGAAGTAGCCAATCCAAGCAAGCAGCCTACCATTCGATGCAGCATTCAACGCTGATTTCGAATCTGTATTTCATATGTGCTCAGCGCCTTTGTGGAAAGATGAGCAGTTCTACTGCGGAAATTATACATAAAATTTGCGAAATTGAGCACAATGCCGCATTTCCGACTCATCTTTTCGGCTGAGTATACAAAGTAACCTGGCTGCATGTTTTGGCCCAACATTAAGCCAAAGAGCTCTGTACTGCCAAATTTGCGCCTTGCATGCACGACTTCTTGGCAAAATAACAGCCTTCAACGGCTCATAATTTCGCCCACATAGGCGCTAAGCAGATACGGAACACAGAGTTGAAGTTAGCATTGTATGCCTAATGCTATGCAGCTTGTTTGGATTGGTCACTTCAATTCCTGGCCATTGCCTTGTAAGTCAGGTGCCTTTCCTTATAAGTCTAAGTTGCTACAGTGCTGGCCATAGCTATAAAGCCACCCTAAAAATCACCGTAATTTGCTCTCTCTTGCTCATAATTGTCTGAAAAATCACTATTTTGTGCGCAAACTAACGTCATACCATTGTCCAGAACGGCTCCCAATTTCATGGATTTTGGCCGGAGAAAAATTTAAAAATTTGAAAGAACGGGTTTCGAAGGCTGGTCACAGCTATAAAGCCACCTCTCATTTTCAATCAGAACTGCGTTTTTGAACCTCAAATTCTTTGTACATATACAACATCAAAATATAAAACATTTGTTACTCTTGGAAGGAGTCGCCTTTCAAAAAGAAGATTCGTATTGCATCTTTTGCTCTAAGATGCATAATAAGTCACATCATTTGCAAAAAAAACTGCTTTTTCACTGAACTTTGAAGCACTTGTTTGACTCGGATGAAGGCCCTATGCTTTGCCGAGCCTTTGCAATTAATACGGCGACAAGCGCTTGAGCCAACATTGCGTACTCAGACAATCAAAGGCTATCAGGCGGCAGCCACAAAGCCACCGCGAAAACCCACCAAAAGCGCCGTGGCCTCATCGCGGCCACTTTCGCTTCCCGCTGAAGCCCTCATGGCAGTCCGCCCGCTGCCAGCTTTAGCGTCCCGCTCAGTGCCATATTTGTAGCCCGCTCGCTTCTACGGTTGCTAGCGAGAAGCGACAGTGAGGCGATAAGGCTGACAGAAGTAAATTCATGAGGAATTTGATTGTTTCAAATCAATTACAGATATATAAGTTTATTAAGGTTTTGTTACATCGTCATACAAGCTACTCATATGAAGTCAGTTTCTTGCCTTACATTGCGTTTTCTATGCTTTTCCAAAGTCCATTGTGAGCGACTTTCTCACATCGCGTATAGCGGTTTCCTCACATCGTACATCATCCTAGATTAAGTCATGAGTCATGTACCATCGGTATCAGTTCGCTTTGGTGTTTTCCGTGCCGCACTGGTTTGGTGCTCACGTTTTGCATCGCCCACGCACGACGGGTCGCCGTTCACACCTGGCGCTTCGCTAGTCGTCATCAGCTGATTTCGCAGCCCATCAGATCGTTTTGACTAATTATTTATTATTTTCGCTTTTCTTTTCAGGATTCGCTGGAAAAGTGATGAGACGGCCCTAATCAGACAGATGTATATGCCGTTTTTGCAATAACGCCTACGAGAGTGCATTTTCACTGTTGGCCTATCAAGCAAAATATTAGGCAATGGAATATTCACATTTCTAGATGTTATTGCAAAAACGGCATGTACGTATGTCTGATTGGGGCCGGCCCATCACTTTTCGAGCGGAAATCCCGCCAAGAAAAGCGAAGATAGAAGAACTAGCCAAAAACGATATGATGGGCTGCAAAATCAGCTGATGACAACTGGCAATGCGCCAGGTGTGAACGCCTCCCCGTCGTGCAGGGGCGATGCAAAACGTGTGCACCAAACCAATGTGGCGCGGGAAACACCAGAGCGAATTAATACCTATGGTACATAACTCATGACTTAATCTAGGATGATGTACGATGTGGGAAACCGCTATACACGATATGAGAATCGAATCGCTTACAAGGGGCTTTGAAAAAGCATATGAAAACGCAATGAAAGGCAACAGATTGACTTCATATGAGTAGCTAGTGACTGTTTGTCTTCGCAGTGTACGACGATGTAACAAAACCTTAATAAACTTATATATTTGTACGAATCTTCATTCAGAACAATCAAACTCCTCATGAGACCTACTTCTGTCAGCCAAAAGATCACTGTCAATTATACTATTTATCACAGTGGTATCTCATTTATCATATTGGTACTTGATAGTTTTTCGTGATCGGCTTCCTTCAAAGTGGGAAGTTGTTCAAGCACTTAGAACCATTGCAAAAGTCAAAAAGAAATTGGTTAAGTTTATTACTTTTGCCGTTCTCGTATCTATAGAAGCTGTGCAATGTTACTGTTGAGGTTCAAATGCTGAAACCAGCAGTTTGATTACACTTTCATGGATTTCCAATGAGCTTTCGATAGACAACAAGTAAGCCAAAGTACAAGTAACCGAGTTCATTGTGGCATACATTCGCGGTGTGAAATGTGATCCTCTACTTACTGTTCTTTTTAGCATACGAGAGAAGCATGATAGTTGCAGCGATTGTATATGCAATGAAGATACGAGACGAAGTTTGAGGCTGGATGAGAAAGGAAAACATCAACAGAAATGCTTTGCAATAATGAGATAGCACAAAACGAAAGAGAGCAATTGCAGCCTAGGAAACAAGTAAAGAGAACAATGCGCGAGTAACACTGTAATATGTTAAAAACGAATGAGGCAACAATTAAACCAGAACTGACGCCAGTTTGAACTGCTAGCATCGCTTGCCTGCACATCTAACTTTTCTAGTGCGATCAACAGGGTCTCGAGAGGGCAACGATATGGCTTTCAGTTGGCAGCCACAATACAGCGTTATGAATTAAGGGTGCCTTCTTATAGCATTTATGCGGCCCGCTGACGGAAATCTTGCATTCGCATCCCCATCGTTTCACGGTCGCTGCCAGCTTAGCGGAGTCGCTGCCTCGTCGTCTCCTTTTGGCTGCTTTTGTAGCAACGTATGCGCTCTGCAGCTATTTTCTGACTCATGAAAGATTATAGCTGCCCGCTGGTAGCCCGTTGCTGTCCGCTCACCGCCCTTCCTACAATGTCATCGCCCGCTCACTGCCACTTTTGCAGTATCGCCGCTCGCTCAGTGAAACTGCTATTTATCGCCGCCTCACCATAGCCTTTGATTGTCTGAGTAGTCGCTGATATTATAAACGAGCCCCAACCGCACCTCCAGGTAGACGAGTTTTTGAACCGCGGAATTTGAGTTCTAATGCCCGAAAAGCTCTGTCGCGTGCTCAGCACGTCGCTTGTACAACGATAGACTCGTGTGCATAGCTTGTACGTCATTACAACTCTGAAGATTCTGGTTCCGCTTTGGACTTTTTTCCAAAAATGAGTGGTGCACTCCGTCTGATCATGTCCCACTCTAACCACCTCGAGCGGAAAAGCGCTCAAAACTTCAAAATCCTACTATTCCCGACAGTTTAGAAAGATTTGACTCGATGAGGAGATCAAAGCAGTGAAATTTGGAGTCTTGTGAGATACACTGCGCACAACCAAACTGCAGACAAAGCGTTCCAACTTCAATGCGGCAAATAAGTCTTTGCAAAAAAACCTGACAGCTTCTGCATGAGTACGTCGCCATGCAGACAAGGGTCAACTTCCAGTCAGAAGTTTTCGCGCGTCAGAAATCGAGTTTTGCGCCTCAGAAGCGTGCTTACACCACGGTAAGATGAGGCTCGTTTATCAAGATTAGCGACTACGCAATGTTGAGTTCAGCACTTTTCACCTCGTTCATTGCAAAGGCTAAGCAAATCCTAGGACCTTCACCCGAGTCAAACAAGTGCTCCAAAATTTAGTGAAAAAGCATTTTTTTGCAAATATGTGAGTTATTATGCAATTTAGAGCAAAAAATGCAGTACGAAATTTTTTTTCTGAAAGGCGACTTCTTCCAAGTGTAACAAATGTTTCACATTTTGATGTTGTATATGTCCAAAAAATTTGAGATTCAAAAAACGTAGTACTGATTGAAAATGAGAGGTGGCTTTATAGCTGTGACCAGCCTTCGGAACCCGTTTTTTCAAATTTTTCAATTTTTCTCCGGCCAAAATCCATGAAATTGGGAGCCGTGCTGGTCAATGGTATGACGTTAGTTTGCGCACAAAATAGTGGTTTTCTAGGCAATTATGAACAAGAGAGAGCAAAATACGGTGATTTTTAGGGTGGCTTTATAGCTATGGCCAGCACTGTAGTTACCAGTTTATCTGCTCTACAAGACTGTACCTGGCGGTAGGCAAAAGGCTTCTTGGAGGAAGAAATATCAACCATCAAACGGTGTAAACATATTTGGAACAACCTTTACACATAATGTTTACTGTGTGTATTGAAATTTTACTTCGAAGAATAGCATGTTTTCATAAACATTTGATCAGTACAGACCCAACTGTTCTTGAAAGCAAAGCAAACAACTCCTTCGAAAGTTAGAGCAAAAAACAACGGAAAAACAAACTTGATTGTAGTGAAAACATTTATACGTTTCCTTGGAAAATCTTTTAGCAACTATTGTTCGAAATCAACTGTGAAATATGTTAATAACTAAGGATTATTGCAGGATGGAACGACGCTGCGCCATGGAGAAAAATTTGCTGACGTTGTACAGCTAGTGCTTACTAATCCAAAGGTATGTAAGCAGCAAAAGTCAATCAGATACGGCGATCAATCGACTTTGCTGCAGGTGATTGGATTTGGTATCAACTGTACGGATCCCACAGCAGTGACGCCCTTGCTTGAATCTGTGCAGTCGTTCTTACCCGTAAACGAGATTTTCGTTTATCCAAATGGTGGAGAGCACGAACAGAGCGCGTAAGTGTGATCAAGCTTTGTATGTGGCAACTCAACAGTAAGGTTATTGAAATGCGAGAAAACGTATTCTTTAAATTCGACAATCAATATGGATGCTCTTGTGTTGTTGGTAACATCTGCGCGTAAACAAATAGCAATGCGCGCTTTCTAACCATTTTTGCCCGCTAGTCACAAGCAAAATGCTGACAATCATAAGCATGGCACTGTTCCGTGCAACTGCTGTTGTTACCGAGCCATAGATCGACCATCAAATTCTATACTGTACACCACTCTTTTTTCCAGATCATGTTTCTCCCAGAAACGTGAAATATAGGCTGCTGCATGACGAAGGCGCTATGTCTTTAGGCGCGAACGCGGTTTATTAGCCGCAGAGCGTATGAGACGCAGGATTTACAACAGTGAGGATACGCGCGCCTCATTCGCTCCCGTTCAACTACTATCGCTTCTGCGCCTTCGTCCTGCAGTAGCCTTTATGTCATCGTTTGGTAATATAGTCACTTATAGGAGTGTAGAGGATGGTTTGGATGTGATTCTGATGTCAACTGAGAAATGGATCCAGCTCGGAGCAACCGTTATTGGAGGTTGCTGTGGAATAGATGCTGACGGTATTTCTCAGATACGAAAGCGAGTTGACCGTCTCCAACAGTCCGCTGAATAACATTTGCTTTGCTGAGTATGTAATGAATACTAGAGGTTTTTGGAGACTTTGTTACATATGCTACGTCTAGAATAGTCCCCAGGGCCCGGCACCGATGGTTCGGGGTCAAACTGGACTTCGTTTTTGGAGTTAGAAGCAACGGGGACATCGTTTTTATGAGGTCCTGGAGGAAGCGCCCAAAAAACACGACAAACATGTCAGGTTTACGAGTTGAACGTGTTCTTTCGCAAGCGCGCGAATTTCAAATACGAGACTCAAACAAACAAATGGCTTGTTTACAGCGCAGAAACAAGCAGATGGCTCCGAATTTGGGCTATGTGTATACAGTATTACTCCAAACTATGTTATGTAAAAAGTTCCCAAAACTTATGTGTCCTAATATCCGTTCTCGAATTTGTTGGTTTCTAGACCAACTACCAAACCAACTGGGTTGGTTCGGAGCATAAATATCGGAGAGTTCACATAAGTTTTGGACCTTTTTGATTTGGACGATTGAAACGGTCAAAAATTTACCATATAGTGAAGAGAGCGGATCAAACCGTTGCCTCTCCCCCTTTTTGAGTCAAAAGTAGTATAATTCTACGCGTTGATAGTTATCGCGCTCCACTTGCGGTGTCCTTTGAAAAATATGGCTAAAATGCATCGCAGGATTGTTGAGGCTACAGATTTGGTTGGCCCAGGAGATTTTCGACATTTCCAGCATCAAAATGGTACTATACCCAATGGCAGAGCCTTTAATCGACTCGAAATATTTTCTTTTTGCTTTTTTGTTAAGTTACATACCTCAAAATGCGCTTTTTCGCTTTTTTGTTGCTATTTTGGTTGAATAAGGGGTTCCCTACTGATTTTCACGTCGAGAGGGACTTCTTAAATTTTCGCGAAGTCATGGGGGACTTCGTTTCCTAAAAACCTCCAAACCAACGCGTGCCGGGCCCTGATAGCCCCATCTCGTCAATCTAGCCTATGTGCCATACCCTGCGTTGTTTTCATTCAAATACAAAGTGTAATGGGCGCTCCTATTGCAGAAGTATTTGTACGTTTGACTTTGTCAAATTCTATAGTTTTTTGAGTTACCGAACCTCTATGATCTCTACGTCAACATGCACATTCTCAAAGTCGCAAGCCTTTTGACGCTTACACTACGGCAAAAAAACTTGGGAAACAGAATGCAGAACTGGTGTTTTTCCCATATAATTCTTTTGCACAAAGCGTCAGGTTTAAGATGGTGAGTATGGGCCCAGTTGAGAATGAAAATGAGTTTTTTTTTCACACGACGAGTCTGTAACAGCTGCTGCGACATCCTGAAACTCTCCAACAAAACTTTTTTTTACAAATATTCAGGTTTATATTCACTGCCTAGCACTCCGAAAATAAAGATCGGGAATTTCAAACATCGATTAGTCCTGCCATAGTGTTGTTGCGTTCAATGAATGATTATCTTGAGAGTGTGTCGTGTCACAAAGTGTTTTTTGCAATATACTACAACTTTGTTCGGAAAGCTCGGAACCTATCTTGAACTTATTTCTGTTTCCTCATCGCACTCCTTTGACTATCCGTGGAAGCAGTATTCTACCAGATGGGCTGCCAAAACTTTATTCAAACCTCCTCAGACCTGGTATAGCGAAACAGCTTTATTGTGAACTTCCGGGTAAAGCACAACTGACAGGCTAAAGAGGTATAATTGCGTAACTTCATGTTCAGGAACTAAAGGAATTTTTGACATCTACTGTAAACTCTACTGAACTGGTGCAACCATTTTTTGAATTTAGAGACCCAATCTTAGTCCTCGGCTTACTGCGACTTTGATCTTTCCAATACACTCAGCCCCTGGGTAGTACTCAGCCCCTGGGTAGTTTGCTGTTTCTGCGATGAAATTGTCTGTTCATTACTGACAGGAGAGCCCTGAAAACAAGTCCATTTTGTACGGCGACACGCAAGGACTAATTTTATCGCAAATCTTCCATACCCAAAGGTGGACAGAGTCTGAACTTCACTCATTTCTTATTTTCATTGAATGATCAGTAAATACTCAAGAAACAACAATTTTTGGAAGTTGTCAGAAACCTCTGCTTACCTTTCTCTAATATTAGGTTGTCCGGAAATTAATGTCCGTTTTTCTAGGCCTAGATTCCAAACAACTTTTTTTCGTCAAACTTTCTACTACGATACAGAATCCGCACATCATTGGAAAGCTTTCTCCATGTACTTTCTAACGGTGGTGGAATTAAGCTGCTATCCTCATCTGTGAGAATTTCACCAGCATTTTGCACATCCACACTCAAAATCGAAATTTCATAGCTTTCTATTTCTTGACCACATTTCAGGAGCAAATAAACGAATTCTTCTGAAAACATAGCAACTGTATTAGATGAAGATTGTTTACCTACTGTGTGCTCATCTAGATTTTTGGAGATAACTGGACTGAGAAATTGACGCCTCGAAATAGATACTTATTGTTGACATTCTATGGGTCAGAAATTTCTCATAATTAAGGCAATCGCCAAAGCTTTGCCCAGTTCTGTAAGCTTGAGATAAGAACACCTTAACCACAATATCTGAAGAGAAACTTGACTATTCAGTGCAAGAAGAATTCCACATTTTCATAATTTGGCACTCACGAGCCTACAAGAAATAGGCTCAAAAAAGTGAACATTTTTGAATTTTTATCTTTTCTTTTCGCACAACTCCTTCTTTGGAGTCTTTTCTATACATACGTAAACACGTGGCCTGCGGCTACAAAATAAGCTGATTGGCAGCCATACGAACAGAACTTGAAGGGAGTTGTAAGCTCTCAAAGAAAAGGTTTTCAAAAGAAAAACTTCTACTTTGTTGTTTTTGTTTTCTTCCCGTTTGCGATATCAGTACGAGCAGGTGCGCGCTAAATTACGAAAGGTTTGCTGTTTCTGATGATCTTAACTGCATTTGAAAATATGAAGACTGAACGAAGTCATAGCCTTCCAAAGTGAAAATTTGCAAAACGGACATTAATTTCCGGACAACCTAATAAAAATGGAGTGTGATAGAATAGCGACTATAATCGTAAACCGCGATGCGAGAAAGAAACCCACCTTTCCGCCATCAGCCATACGTTTCATAGCGTTGAATACCTCATGCTGATCACTGCGTAGCACTTCGAAGTCCTCAGCACAGTATTTCACCGGATTCGGTGCATTCTCCTTGGTATCAATATGGAAAGACTTTAAATCCTCCAGTCGATCACGAGCCAGAATTGAAGAGATGTCCTTTAAAAGAGTATGACAACTTAGTCCTGTGGAATCAAAGAACTCCAAAGTCGTACGGAACTTCAAAGGTCGATATTAACTCCGAAAGCGCAAAACGAAGAAGACCTTTTGCGTTTACTCACGATGTCTGCCATGATTGCGGCGCCAGCAAACACGTAAAATGCACCGTTCACGTCACAAAAGTTGACGAGACTGATTCACACGACACCAGGGCCACTGACTAAACCCTTTTCACAGGGAGTGGCGGGTGGAAGGCGGGGCTTCGATCCTAATAAAACCTGCGTCTCTCTCGCGAGCGTGCTCTCTAACCATTTCTTACGCTTGATTAGCGATCGAAGCCCGCTCCAGCCGCCACTCGCAGTGAAACTAAGGATACTGTGCGAATCCCGCTGCAAAAGGTACATCCTAAAGCGAGATAACCCTAGCACGTAAATGCGGCAAGGTCACCCCGCCACAGTTCCATTGCTGAGATGATTTTTGGTTTCAGAATTCACTTTCTGCAGCATGACTGGAGCAATTACAAGGGAAGCATGTATAGTCGAAGTGGCATTTAGATGGGATGTAAACAATAATGAAGGGCATAAAATGCTGACTCCAAATCTGCCTTCCTTATCTGCAGAACATTCATGGACGAGGAGTTATGAGGGCTTATTAATGCAAAAAATTAATGTGCAAGTAGGACAAAAGCGGCCGTGATACTTTTCTAGCTTTTCAATGGATTAAAGATAATCATCCCCCCCCCCAGAATGGTTGGCCGCCTCATCGTGGCGTGGGGGTGACACTGGGTGTCGAACTGCGATGCACAGCCGAGTGTATACTCTGGCAGGGCCTCCCAAGCTGTGAAGGAGTTCGACGTTTCCGGTTTCAGCCGGATGCCTAGCTAAGAGCCGGCCAGGCCAGATCCGCCGCCGTCTGGTTTTCAGGTCGCTAGGCGGTTCTCCCCGCTCCAAGCCCGGGGTCAGCGATCGCCCCGTGGAAATCAAGAGTTGGCCTAGTAAGTCTGCTCTTGTAGGGGAAAAATTTCATTACTCTACCAGTTGAAAGAAACCCTGTACATCGGATCCCGCCTACGGCGCCGGGTGGTAGCAAGACTGATGTCAGGGTCCTCAGGGCGCCTTTTGGATTGGACAAAAACGACACGTCTGCCCGGACGACACGCCACGGAGACTGCCTCATGCTCTGCACCTACAACGCCAGGACAGTCTCCACAAACGCCGACCTCCACTTCTCGACGCTGCAGAGCACATCAAGTACCACATCATCGCTCTGCAGGAAACGAAGTCCAGGAAGAAGGACGTGCGACAGATGAATGATGGAACACTCATCATTCGTGGTGAGAAGGTTCCATCACGAAACGTGGGAGGTGTTGGCTTTGTCGTCCACCCATCTATCGTCCATCTTGTCGATTCGCACGAGATCCTATCACCCCGACTAGCCATCCTACGACTACGCCCTCCACGTCACAAGAGCATCAGCATCATCAACTGCTACTCTCCAACATCAGCAGCTGACGACTCAGAACTAGATGCTTTCTACGAAGACGTAGAGGAGGTCGTCCGCAACGAAAAGTCCTTCTACAAGTATGTTGTGGGCGACTTCAATGCGAAAATCGGCATGCCACTAGAAAAGGAATATAGGATCGGGAAGTTTGGATATGGGCTCCGGAACGAAAACGGCAACCGTCTTGTTGGGCTTCTCTCCGCCGCACGACTTTTCCATGGAAATTCCATCTTCATGAAGAAAGAACATCGACGGTGGACATGGGAATCGTCCAACGGAACGACTCACGCGGAGATCGACCACATTCTCGCCAACCGAAGGTGGAGCTTGCTCGATGTCTCAGTAGTTCCATCCTTCTGCAGTGGCTCCGATCACCGCCTCCTTCGAGCGAAGATACGACTCAGCCGAAGGCTGGAAAAGAAAGTCTGTCACAGTGCCGCGAGAAGGAAGGAAGTCGTTTACGACGGTAACAGGCTGGAGGAGCTCATATCAAGATGTGACTGGCCCATCGAGGAGGACCCAACGTACGACTACGACCGGCTTCTGAAAGGATTGCGAGCCTGCGGAGAATGTGCCTCAGTGACTTCTGAGAAGAACTTGGAACGTATCTCGAAGACCACCAAGGAATTGCTCGAAAGAAGAAGATTTCTGAGGCAGGATCCGAATGCAACCCATCTCGAGCGACTGATAGCCAACGCCAGTTGCAGAACAGCTTTGCAGGAGGATCTCAGGAAGTACAGGCAAGCCAAGATACTGGAAGCAGCCGAAGAAAGACGAAGTCTCAAGAAATGCCGAAGGGACCTCTGTGAATATCACGTACCGCTGGCTGCACTATTGAACGAAGACGGGACTCCGACTTCTTCCCGATACAAGATGGAATCTATCGCGAAGAACTTCTATACCAACCTCTTCCGCTCATCAACACCCGTGCCGATGCCCGTTGTTCCCACTGGAGAAGTACCACCACGAATTCTACCTGCTGAAGTGCGCACGGCGATTCAGACCATGAAGACATCCACGGCTCCAGGACCAGACCATCTTTCCGTCGAATTTCTGCGAGCCGGAGGACAACGTCTACACGAGATTCTCGCGTCGCACCTGACATCTTACCTTCAGAAGGAGAGGATTCCCGACCAGTGGAGAACGTCAAGAACCGTCCTTCTTTTTAAGAAGGGTGAACGGGAAGATCTTCGAAACTACCGTCCAATATGCCTGCTGAGTGTGCTGTACAAGCTCTTCACGAAGATTATCCTCGCACGCATATCTAGGACACTGGATGAAGCCAAACCCCAAGAACAAGCTGGATTTCGCAAAGGATTCAGCTGCATGGACCGCATCCAGACGGTTTCGAGGGTCATAGAAGTCTGCCGGGAGTACCGACTGCCTCTCGTCCTAACCTTCGTGACTACGAGAAAGCCTTTGACAGCGTCGAAACCAACGCCATCCTGTCTGCGCTAGTCGATCAAGGAGTGGAACCAGCTTACGTGAGGACACTAGCCGACTGCTACAAAGACTGTACAACAACGATGCAGCTATTCCATCGCCCCCTAACCATTCCAATTGGGAAGGGGGTTCGACAAGGCGACACTATTTCGCCGAAGCTGTTCACCGCGGCCTTGCAGTGGGTGATGAAGTCACTAGACTGGGAAGAGAGAGGCATACGAGTTGATGGGAGATTCCTATCCAACCTTCGTTTTGCGGATGACATCGTCCTTTTCTCGAGCAGTATCACTGAAGCAGAGGCGATGCTGAAGGAACTAAACGAAGTAGGGAAGAAGATCGGACTGCGAATAAATCGGAAGAAGACTCAGTTCATGAAGAACGCCCTTTGCGAAGATGCAGAAATGGAATTGGAAGGCACCCCTAGCATGGAGACGTCTTCTTACGTGTATCTCGGACGTTCGATGAACATGGAGAACGACTTGAGGGAAGAACTTAACAGGAGAAGAAGAGCAGCCTGGGCCGCCTTCGGGCCTCTGAAGGAAGCCACCGACCAACTGACGGACCCGGAGCTTCGTGCCCACCTGTTCGACTCAACCGTTCTCCCAGCGCTCTGCTACGCAGCTGAGACTTGGGCCGACACCGTAGCCACGTCGAAAGCTTTAAGGACCACCCACAGAGCGCTCGAGCGCAGTCTTCTGAAGATGACCCGACACAAGCAACATCTAGTCGGACTTCGCAGCACGGATATGAGAAGAATGTCCCGTCTTCGTGACCCAGCGGAATACGTTGCGAAAGCGAAACACCGATGGGCCGGTCACATAATGAGAAGAACGGACGATAGATGGACACTAAGAACATCAGAGTGGATTCCTCGCGAAGCCAAACGTCCTCGAGGAAGACCACCGACGAGATGGGCAGACGTGTTCGTGGAACGGATGGACCAGCTGAGAAATCAGCTAGATACGATTCCATCCCCTGGAACTCGTGGACGCAGCCACCGACGACGACCAAGAAGATCGTGGATGTCCGAAGCGAGGGACAGGGATCAATGGCGACTTCTGTACTGGGGCCCGCACGTTACGTGAGGACGGGCCATCTAAGTATCTAAGTAAGTAAGTAAAGATAATCATCAGCACTTTATTCAAAAAAAAAACTTGGAAAAGTTTATTTACACCTGGTTGCATTATTTGAGGGCTAGTAAGATTTCAACTATCCAAAATGCACATTCAATTTCTCGCTCCAAAAAACGCTCATGACTCCTCGTGCATAAGTTCTGCAGGTAAGGAAGGCATTTTTGAAAATCAGTGTTTGTGCCTTCAATATGGCATACATCCCATCCAAAAAGGCCACTTCGACTAAGCACGCCTCCGTTGTTAGTTGGAACATCGCTACTATAGTTTCGACATGATTTGGGTGGACGATGGCTTCGAGTTTTTTCTAAATACTTTGGGTGAGGTACTCCATACAATAGCATGTGCCAGTCACTAGCTGGCTACCGCTTGCGGTGCGCTGAACGCTCTACCCCCAAACTGATTAGCATAGAAATGCGTTGCACTCATGAAAAGGGGTAATATTACATCTTATCTATCCCATACAAAAATGTACGAACATGCAGCGCACAGCTTCGGTTCTTCCTCTAACCATTATAATCAAGGTCTTTCGGATCTCGGAATACTTACGAATTTTCTAAAATGCGCCCTTAATGGTCAGCTCAAAGGACCATTCTAGGGCACATTTTTGATAAACCGTAATTTTGAAGGGGCGCTCCAGCCTTGCGCAGTATAAAGCTTCAAGTGACTACCTTCAAAGGCACTGCTTGAAGACTGAACAACTCGACAGAATCAACATTAAGAAATTGCTTCTTTACGGTCTCCAATTGTTCTTCACGACAAACAATAGTTGATCTGACAGATACACCTACACAAAAATGCTTCAGGATTAAGAAGTCGAAGAAACACTTTGAAACATACCAAACTTTTCGCGGTATCCTGAGACAATCACCGTTGCCCAAATACCACCATGATTCGTGTGCTTTTTGTAGAACTCCGTCATCGCTCTAAATCATGTGATTAGCAGGTACTAGATGGCAAACCCGGCTCCGCCCGGGACCAAACTTTGCACACATACACTTCGGGGCAGGGAGCGTGTCATAGTCCACTTTTCGTTATCGATCGATGTCGATTTTACCGATTTTTTGCAAAATTTGAGCTAGGGGGCTAGGATTTTGCACAGGGGCCCCCTAGCTCAAATTTTGCCAGCCAGCCCCCTAGCTCAAATTTTGCAAAAAATCGATAAAATCGATATCGATCGATAACGAAAAGTAGCCTATGACACGCTCCCTGCCCCGAAGTATATGTGTGCCAAGTTTAGTCCAAATCGGTTCAGAAATAAAAATTTCTATTCCGCACATACGTACAGACAGACAGACAGACAGACATACAGACAGACAGACATTCAGCTTTATATATAAGATGAGCACAGCACATTGAGGTAAATATGAATGTCCAAGGTGAATGGGATATCCGTTTTATCAACTCAATCCGCTGAAAGGTGGACGTCGATAAGGAAAAAATCAACTCTGTCTGGCCTTTTGATAAACGACACGTACATCGGAATTAGCTCGAAACGCTGAGTCAAAATTTGTTGTTCCTAGGTGCAAAACATTATCTTGAACAGAATTAGGTGCTCTTTTCTGTGCAAGCATGCTTATGACTTACTGATATTAAGGTATCAACAGTCTCGTGATGCAGCTGTATAGTGCTACTTATTAGCATTAGGAAACTTGACCTGATGATATTAGGGTGTCCCATAAACTTTTACCGTTTTTACCGTAACCGTCGTCTCGCTGTGTTTTTCCTAATTGACGTGCTTGAGTAATCATTTGACAGGGCAAAGCAAGCTCTACAAGATGGCTATGAAGAATCCGCCCAAATCGTATTTCACCGGAAGTTTTGAGCTGAGATCTGATAGCAGCCGAAAACGAAATCTTCCTTAAAAAATCGTATCTCCGCCCATGTCTTAAAAATTCCCCATTTATTCTAGCGTATGCTTGACATATAGCACACTCAGTTGTACTATTTCCGTATTTTTTCCACGGCTAGAAGCAAAGAAAGAATTGAATGGGGTAAAATGGCAAACTCTGTTCCTAAACATTGTGAACTCTTCCGAAGCATGTGATCGTATAGCTCCTACATACAGAAGTACAACCATGTATTTGTGAGCTTCGAAGGTGCCCAGTTCTCGAGAAATGCAGATGTTTAGGGTAAAACGGTAAAAAAAAATCATGGGACACCCTTATATCTTAAACTTCAGCGTTTTTTTTTTCAAGGAGACCCCACAGGCCGTCTTATTCAATAATATGTATGTCAACCGCGCGTAAAAAAGTCATATCTCTTTCCAAAATAACGCTTAATCTAGGGAATGTGAGTGATGTATATCCGACAACGAGACTATTTTGAGTCCCACCCCCCCCCCCTCCTCCTCCTCCTCCTGCCATCCGTTATATATCACTATTTCTGATCTTGAAAAGTTATCAGTTTTCGGGGGGCCTAAACATCACTATAAGTATGACCGGCTCCCAAATTAGCATAATAGCGGACTGCGAACTTCTAATGATAACGTGTATAAACTTGTAACCCTCCGCAACATAGCATCTTGCTTCGCTATCCAAACGTGCCACGCTTTGGCTGCCACGACTCGGCCTTTGTACGAATCCGGAAGCCGATGATAAACAAACCTTCAATCACGTCATGATTGAAGGTTTGCAATCTTTCCGGCTATATGTCATCATGCATCAACTAAAGTGCTCTTATGTTTATAGTTTTTACCAGGCTGCGTGCGGTGAAGGGTATTAACTTGTGTTTGGCCTAAGGATGGAGGGATAATCAAATGTTTCTTATTGCAAATTAGTGTAAGTATAGATTTGATTATTTCTTCCACAGCACATTTCCAGCCTAGTCGTTTTCGCCCTCCATATCATTAGATATTTGGAATTCTTGAAACTATCAGTCTCCAGTGCCACTCAAATCAGTGGACTTCACTCAATTCAAGCAATTTCAAAGTACTTTACAAGTTCTTGTCGCTGTTATACGCTTGTCCAGGGCTCGGCATGAGTCCGTTTCTAGGTTTTTCTAAAACGAGGTTCCCCCCCCCCCGACTTTCGCACGAGGGCTGTGCTGCTTAACGCCGCGCGGCGTCGCTTCGCGAAAAATCGTAACTCCTTACCCGTACCCTTTTGACCTTATCGAAAACATCGACTAAAAAAGCTAACCTAACTTGCTTTATTTCATACACACAAAAACGATACCCCTTCGTTTTTTGCTCCGAAAGCGAAGTCCAGCCAGCTTTCAAATGATCTGTGCCCCGCTCGGCTGTATCCCCAGCAACGTCTGCCTCATCTTTTGGACCTCAGACCAAAGCTTAGAGGCAGCGTCCGGGCGTATATGAAATTTTAGCGTACAGGGGCTCCCGTTCTGATAAAACCCTTGCTCAACTGGCAGTGCACTAATTTGCTTCTGAAGCGAGAAATACGCTTCAGAAGTGGCGATCGGGACGCCCCGGCCGCCCTCTCAATAGATAGCCAGAGAACGTATGCCGCATACAGTCAAGGCGTAGGGTTCCACCACGACTCTGCGTCTTAACCTCGGCGGCAAGCTCCCATATTCAAAATTAACATCTTCTGGAATAGCCTATTTTCGACATTTTCGTACTCTGCAAGCTGCATTTTTGCACTCAGCGGGAAGAATAAGCCCAAGCAAGCGAGAAAAATTTTGTTTGAGATTTCGCCCGGACGCTGCCTTTGAGGTTCGGAGAAATTTCTTCACTTGCCGTGTCTCCCATGACATGCACAAGCTTCTCAAAAAAAATGATTAATTCCTGCAAAGTTGTCTTCGTTCAAGATTGTTCTAAGGAATCATTCACAGTCATACGATGATATCGTTACTAACACGGGTTTGAGTACTACCACCTGAATTTTACAGTACTGTGTTGATATACTTGTTTGTTTGATGTGATCTTTTGCCGATTTACCCTATGTAATAAATGAAATGCTCATGGACTGGAGCATAAGTCTTGCACCAAAAAGGGTAAAAACCGCATTTACCCATATTTCTCCTATATTCTATGTAGGTTCTACGGTACCATTTTCGATAGAGCAAAGTAAGCTCTACAAGCAAGATTTCAAAGATTTGTACCAAGTTTAATCCACACGAGGTTCGAAGCCAAAAACCAGAAAAAAAATCCAGAAAAATCCAACCGCTTGAAAAAATAGAGAAAAGATAATGACTCCATTTGCATTTCCTGCGAATCTACAAGTTGCTTAGAGAACATACTCTTTGCCAGACTTTACACCTTTCGTATGTGCAATTACCTTGGCTAGAAATCGAGGAGACGAAATTAATTACCATTGCCAGGGTGATATTGGGCTGTGTCTAGCTCCTCTAGCTCGGGTTTTTGATGCCAATTTTGACCTTTTTCGTGAAAACTGGCTGCTGTAGAAGGCTAAAGATTAACGAGTACCGATTGAAGGCATGTGTGCAATTACTAGTACGAGAACAGCTCAGATTTGCTTCTGTAAGAAAATGAGAATCTTCGTTTTTCTCAATTTCTAGGCAATCAGAATTACGGCAACTGCATATATAAATGATTGGTTGATGTATAACGTTTATGATTGAGCAAACTGATTTTTTTTTCAAACGGGGGATTTTTTCTCTATATGGCTTCGAACTTTGTGTGGAACAAACATGGTACGAATGTTTTAGTATCTTGTAGAGATTACTTCTCTGTCGAAAGGTACCCCAGAACCTATATGGAATGTAGGAGAAGTATGAGTTATTGCGGTTTTAACCTAGTCTGTTGCAAAACTTATGTTTCAACCTAATACATAACCCGAAGCACATATTTGGGAAAAAAGAACTGAGCAATCGTGCGTCTACCGTCTTACTTGCTGTTTCTTCATGAAAAAAAAACTTCCACATACTGATCTGCGTTATGAGTGCAAAGATCACTGCTGCAAGGGCATTCTGGTGCTTTGAAAAAGCAAAGGTCCGATTATACTTTAAAAAAAGTCCCCAACTCCGTGTTTGACGCAGTTTTTACCAACTTCCCGACCAGTAGTTATGGACCTAAAGATAATTTCATGGCAAACAACACAGTAATGTTAGTGATTACTTCTAAGTAAAATGGATGCTGTAACAAGGTCTTCTTCGACTTACCTGACAATTAGAAAATCTGCACGTATTCCAGTTGAAATGCTTGTTCAATAGGACAAGTAACTAGGTGGAGTTTAAACAAAGTCTTGACTAGTTCATTTTCTTCTCGTCAAGTGTCACCTTGCTTCCAACTCGAAGTGAAAAAGGATGAACGAATGTTTTTGCACCTATCGCACATGTAAATACTAAATCTCGGCGTTGAGGGAGGGAGGAGGAGCGCTTCGCCTTAACTTTTTAGCGAAACTGTTCAAATCTCAATGGTTGAGACAGTAACCACTGCATGGATAAAAAGCCCCGCCGCGGGAAAGCGGAGCTTCAAAAAAAGCTTCATACTCTGGTGCTCTGGAAAACTTCACCAATCTTTACTATAGGTATTGAACAGAAGCGTAATGTCGCGTACAGCGTATCCCAACTTTTCTTAATCCCCGGTGAATATTAATTTATCCTTCTATAAAGTTAACAAAGACACCGGTGCTGACTAACGAAACCAACAGCAACTTGCGTATTTGCGACGAACAATGAAGTTAAGTTAATGAGATTTTTGATGAACACCGAGTCAAGAACAGTGGCCACACTTCGAGCGCTGTGCTGGAACTGTTCCGGGACTTACGGATCAGTGTGAACCTAGCCTTAGTAGGTTGCTGTGATAGCAATGTAGCCGCGCAACTTCTGAACTTTTTACTTCTTGTTAGCGTCTACCAGATTTGGTCCTGTTGCGAATGCCAGACTTCTGATACACAGGTTGGATACAGTCAGTTCGATTTGCAGGTACTAGGAGTACCACAATTCTGCAATGTTCTCATTGGCGGCATAGAAAGATAAGTAGCTTTCAGAAAGAATATCAGCCTCGGGAATACCGGGGGTATGTGTCAAGAGGAGCGATTTTCATTGGCAGATGAGTTCAAATCCTTGAAGTATCTATGATTCAAAAGTGGATATATTCGTTAGTTGCTTGGGCTGTTCAGTCTTAATATCCTAGCATCGAGCAAACAGAGATACTGAAGGGCGAAAACCCATAAAAATGTAACTATCAGCAAATTCGTAAACATCTCGGTCGGATTTCCAACAAAAGTCAACAAAATGGTCGGGCATACATCACGCGATTTCATTCGCGACTCTCTCAACACGATCAACTTGCACTTCGGGTATGATAGTTACTGGTCAGCTACCCTATTTTCCAGCTTATAAGCCGTACCAGCCGCAGCGATCAGTGGCGCGAAAGCGCCTTTGAAAAGAATGCTCTTAACTAACTAACTAAAGACCTCGGTGCATTTTGTGACTGCTCTTCAGTGCGCATCTCCATGTCGTCAGGTATTTCTTTACTCCTTTTAGAGCCCGGACGATTTTGCGGGTGTTTAAATTGTATTTCCTTTCTTCAAATATACAAACAATGGAGTTGATGACGCTTTCTTTTGTTTTTAATAATGTCACTGGTGTTGAAGCAATGCTATCGTTCGATTTCAGTGATACTGCTGATCTTTCAACGGTGCTTTCAAAAATTTTACAACAAAGAACGAAAGCAGAAAGTTAAAGCAGTCTAACAGGTAAGATAGGCATGCGCCATACTTGATCCGCTTGATCCGCTTCGTCATTGGTCGATTCAGTGAGCAATAACGAAGCGGTTGTCCGCTTGATCCGCTCGATCCGCTTCATCCACTTCACTATTGGTCAGTTCACTGCGTTGACCAATGATGAAGCGGATCAAGCGGATCAAGTGGATTAAAGGCACCGTCCACCCAAAATTTCGACCTCTATGTTTCTGCCGTACCAGGGCCTTCTCATACCTCTGTTCTCGAATATCAGGTCATATCCGCGACAACCACGAAAAACCCCCGTTCAGAACCCGCAGAGCGATTTCTTGGGACGGTGATTGGTTGGACGCGTACGGATGGGCGGGACGAACGTTACGCCCACCCGAAAGGGGAGGAGCCAACGTCGCGAACCGTCACCTGAAGCGATTTCCGAAGCAATTTTCTCGCTTCGGAAGCAACTTTAGGCAGCGCGAGTTGGGCAATCGTACAGTTGGGGGCCTCGCAGCTGCTAGGTATCATACTCTCACCAACTCCAATTTGGGTGGACGGTGCCATTAAGATCAAGTATGGCGCGTGCCATAGATAGCAACTGGCCGCGCAGCTTCACGCATCGCGACCGTCACAGCACAGGTAGCCAGCTCGCGATGGAAATAATTGCAGCTGATACGCCGGAAAATAGGGTAGTCGCATCGGAAAACTCTCACAATCGAACTGTAAGATGATCGGCATGCAATGGACTCGTAACAGTTGTCTAATTGAGGGAGTCGCGAGGCGATGAAATCGCATAATGCATGCGAACTTGAACTGAGCAAGTGGTAACGCATTTGCCTGGTACTTTTTGAATAGTCGCTTAGCACTATACTGGAGTTTTAAGTTGGTAACAGACAAATAAAGCGCGCCTTTTGGTCGCCCATCACCATGCAGTATAGAAAGCGGCTCATACAGCAACGCAAACAAATTTGTCGTTCATTATGTCTATGAGGGTGTAATCACAGTCACATGGATATGAATAGGCAGCGTGTAATCCAGAATTTTGGAGCCTCTGGATATGAAATCTACATACAAGCCCAGCACCCCTCCCCTGCAGGATGTTATGCATGCTGCATCAAGATTACCAAAAAAAAGCCCGAATGGCTCCCCCTCCCCCCCCCCCCCCCTTCCTCCTGTGTAATACTAGCAATATACGACACCAAAGAAATACCAGATACCTGTAAGCCTCGCTTGTCGTGATCTTCTCCTTGCGGCTGAGAGTCACCGCTGTTACGACCAACCTTTCGTCAAGGATCATGCTCATCAACGTTTTATCCATTTTCAGACAAAAGTGGAATGAAAGTTGAGCGTTTCCAAGCTGAAAAAGTACCCGTGGTTTCTGAATATGTAACAAAAACCTTGAAATTGAGTCACACGATATCTGTTCAGCAATGCTGGGTTAGATTAGTCCCAAAACATATCTCACGTGATTTCAGTCGCGACCCGATACGACAATACTCCATTTGGTCACAACTCATCGTAATGAGTTTCTGAATGCACGGAAGATAGGGCATTTTATCAATCTATGAAAATTCTACATGCTGTGACATTAGGGTTCTACAAGTATTGAATAAAACATCAAGCGAATGGCCACATTGCGTGGCGACTGAAATCGCGCGAGGTATGTCTTGGGCCTTACGCAAGGGACATACCCCACGCGATTTCAGTCGCCACGCGATCTGGCAATTTGCCATATGTCTTCAAATTCAATACTGGAAGACCTCAAATGCACAGCATGTATAACTTTCGTAGGTTGATAAAAAGCCCCCTCTTCCGTACATTCAGAAACCCCGTAGGATGAATTATGAACATTTGGAGTATTGCCAAATCGCGTGGCGACTGAAATCGCGTGAGGTATGCCCGAGGCCTTAGACCCTAGGCATATCACCACCTCCCAGCGATAGAGCAAACGGAGCAAGTTGTCACGCAACTTGGCAGTTTGTCAGATTCTTCAAACCATTAGTAGAATCTTACTGCTCCGTGCGACCAACTTAGGCCTAAGGCATACCTCCCGCGATTCTGGTCGCCACGCGATTTGGCACAACAGCGACTCTTCGTAATTCGTCGCTAATGCGCTGTCTTTGGGCAGAACGTCATCCGTTTGCAACAACTTACACAAGCTATCCAAATATGCATCCGAGAAGCGCGCACGTTAAATTTGTAGAAATCTGGCAAATCGCCAAGTCGCGTGAAAGTGGCGATTCGGCCGAATCGCGTGAGGTATGCCTTAGGCCTTACGTAGGTAGACATACTGCACTCACGAGAATCACAAACATTTGGAGCGTTACCAAATCGCGTGGCGACTACGTTCACCTGCGGTATGCCCAAGGCTTCTCCACGGTAACTCAACGGCTGTTAAGAAGAGAGACGAAAATGTACTGCTCCGAACTTCCGCATCATGAACGCAGCCTGAATCAAAGGTCATGTATGTTGCCGAAAGCGGAGGTCCCGCGCGGACTGGTGCAACAAATACGCACCTCCTGCACGTACTCATGAGGTGCACAGTTGTTGCAACTGTCCGCGCGGAACGTCCAATTTCGACGACACCTAGTCCTCTAAAACACGCGCCATACTTGATCCGCTCAATCCACTTGATCCATATGATCCGCTTCGCTACTGGTTAGATCGGTGAACTGACCAATAGTAAAGTGGATGTCCATTCGATTCACTTCATCCATTTCGCTACTAGTCAACTTACTGATTCGACCATGCATTCTTTGGTTTACCTAGCTATGTGATAGGTGCCAAAACCAAGAAGAAAAAAAGGGATTTCAGTCAGTATCGAGGTTCCAGTCCTCAGCGATCTTATAAACCGAGTTTGGCAAAACGCCCAGCCATAGCCTGCGCGTAAACTGACACTACGGGTGCTTAGTCACGCACCGAGGGTAGCGTATACGGACTGTATCTTCATTGTAGCACTAATCAATAGATCCGCACGCCAAAACAAAGTGCTCAAAGCGAAACCGAAGGGGTAGAGGACTATATGTTGCCGAAAAAAGACGGTCTCCGCGGTCTGCGACAAATACGCCTTGTATAACATCTGATTCAACTGGCTTGGCTCTCAGAAGGCGGGGCTTTGTGACTCAATTAGGACCGCTCGCGCCCACGACACAGTCTGCCTCTCCCTCGAGTGCTTGCTCACTGATCATTAGCTAGCCTCAGTCAGGTCACGAAGCCCCGCCTTCCGAGAGCCAAGCCACAGTTGAATTAAATGGTATGCGCGGATATGCGTTACCGCAGGAAATCCGCGCGGGACTCTTCCGCATTCGGCGACATATAGTCCTCCACCCAAAGCGAGGTGCCGTTCAGACTGCTCGCATGAATCAGTGGCTGTGTGGATATGAGGTGGAGTCTACAATCACTGTCTATTACTCCCTCTCGCGAGAACTACGCATGCGGAACGGAAGGGCCCTGCGTGCGGACCTCCAACCGATGAAACCTATATGAATGCCCGAGTCATACGCGCCGAACTTGGCGCAAAGCTCGTTACGTTTACGGGAAAGGGAGCGCATGATTGACGCGGACTGTAAATTAAAGACATAGGAGAAAACTTGGGAAAGAAATTGAATAATAAACCACTCCAATGAACTTCATCGATGATACTAAACCTATAAGTGACCCGCGCGGCGAGAGCTCGCACATAATGAGTCACACACGAGTCAACGACAGTTGCCCCAATCCGAATGGAGCTAAAACTAGCATTATGCCCATCTGCCCCGCTATGGTTTTGCCACACGTCTGCTTGCCGTGAGTGGTCGTCGCAGGACCTGCCTGCTCCCTCTTCTCTTTCACAAAGCTGGGTTCATACAATCCTAAGTTCCAAAACAGTACCAGAACAGTGCTCGAATTGTGCGCTGTGGTGAACTCTCTGAAACTTACGGATCAGTATGAACCCAGCCTAACGGTAGAGGAGTTTAGGTCACCGATAGGCTCACCCACGCGCACAATAGCATAAGGCAGTAATAGCGAAGGCGCGATTTGGTGCAAATGTCCGCGCGACCGCCCCATTCGGCGACCTTATGTCCTCTACACTTCATAACTTCAGCGATGCGCGCGTACATGCAGCGCAATCCTATAGCGTTGCGAGCGCGCGATTTTAAGCCAGATTGACTCCGCCTGCGTCCATACTTTTCCCGGCATAGCGCTGGAACCACGCGTTGCTGCCGCGCGCAAGCAGTCTCGAGTGGCAGCGACGCTTGGTTCAAGCGCTATGCCGAGAAGGGATGTTTGACTATTTTTGAATTTTCTGAGATTTATATCCCATTCTTGGAGCACTCCTCTTTGTGATGGAAACAATGCAGAGCGGGGTTTGGAACTGAGCACATCGTCGTGGTCACAAGTCATTTTTTCTTGTGGGAGGACAAAGCTCGTAGAAGCTTTGACTTCTGGGTACTGCTGGCTGCAGTAAAAAGTGAATGGGATCTAAAAATCTACACCCACACTGGCTGTCTTCAAGCTCGTGTACTTGGGAATGCACATATGGTTTGGAATCAGTTTTCTGTAAGTATAAGTTAACATTTCCTATCGCATTTCTTCTCTTAGGACCCGTGCATACCTCACGCGATTTCAGTTGCGACGCGATTGACAATACTGCAGTTGCTTATAACTCGCCGCAAACTCAGTCTGAGCACACGGAGAATAGCACATTTTACCGATCACAGACGTTGAATACACCAAGCATTTGTGATCTGCGAGTGTTGGTTTTGAAGAGATCTTGCAAATGGCCAAATCGCGTGGCGACTAATATCGCGAGAGGTATGCCCAGGGCCTTACAAGGGAGAGTCGCAAAGTCGAAGTAGTCGGTCACCACAAGCTGCATAACATTACTGAGAGCTTGGGATGCTGACTCCAAATTTGCTGTCCGCATCTGCAGAACGCTTCTAGAAAGGATATTAGCATTTTTTGAAGTCTAAGATTGAACTAATGGCCAGGACAAAATCAGTCGCTAGACCCTCTGTAGAACTTAAATGAAGCAGTGGCAAGTGTCCGGATTCTTCAAACAATGAACTTCGACAGCATGTTACCTTTCATTGCTCCGTTTGACGTCTAAAAAACTTTGAGGATTTATTTTTTTCCAGTCCTTTTGATGCTTTCGCTCAAAATTGCGCAGAACTTTTTTTCAGAGGAGCTCTGGAGATGGGGAGAGCAGGATTTGAAATCTGCGTTTCAAGCTCACTCTAATGGTATGTAGTTTGTGATGTGGCCACTTAGTGACATCTTCATTAGAATGCACGGATGATGGGTCCAGATGCGCATTTCGCAGATTTTCATCATCAGCAGGAAGCTTTGGCTAGTTGATGTGGACTCTTGCATATAAGTGGCTGACAGTCCATTGTCGGAGTTAATCGCTTTTAGCTCTCGCTGTTTCGCTTCGATACGAATATCATTCTTGTACCTTAACCTTTTGAAGCATGAATTTTTCCCGCTAAGAGAAAGGTGCTCACCTACTGTGTATTACGAGGAACCATCTGAATCACAACACAGCAAAGTTTGGAGCTTTTTCGGCAACAAGATGTTCTATTTGTTATTTTTTCTCCAAACTTTCCTCCACTTTTCTCATTTTTTGCAAAAAACGTGGAATCGCGTCATAGCAGCTGGTTTCGCAAACATTATACTTTACACTTTCAAAAGTACGAATATATTCTAATTATCTAGGGAGATAACTGACATGCTCTTAACAGGTGCTGCAACCGATATGATTTTTTGCGACTCAGTTGCACATAAAGATTTATATTGCAGTGGCGGACCGAGAAGGCCCTCCCCCCAAAAATGGGTCACGAGTTTTTTGAAACTTACTTGCATGGGTTATAAAAACGTGCATTTGACTTGTTCATTCTCGTAAACAATTAAAATATTCTTTAACATTTTTTTTAAAAATTTGAATTAGCCTTGTAAAAGAACCACGCCCCCTTTTTCTAGATTGTAGGGGCTATGGGGCCCGCAAAAATTTTGAGAAGCACCCCAAACAAATTTTCGGAGTGCGTGGCTAACCACACACCTTCATCTAAGAACAATTCTGCCCCCCCCCCCCCTCGGACGGAAATCCTGCGACCGCCACTGTTATATTGCTAACATCACCATAGATAAGATAGGGTTGCAAACCTCTATCAAAAAGGCAAAGGTTGCCTCAAGCGGCATGTAGCAGTAAGTAGTGGAAATCTGCTGTTGCGCAAGTATTACTGCCTTCTGAAGTTGAGGCTCCATGTCAGGAGTCACGCCGCGCCCCGCGCCGCTTCGCCGCGAACGTCGCGTCTAAATTTTGTACCCCACAGAACTGCC